TAGGAAGATGTTTCTGAGTATTAAAAAAATTACTATTTATATATTTATTGTCTATATATAGAAACTACATCAGCCTTCTCTGCTCGTCTGAAAGAGTGACTTGGATCTTTGGAAGTGCCTTACTCACTACCCATTAGAACAGTATTCTCCAGATTACAAAAATGCTGCATATTACAGAAATGTTCAATCTCATCATTGCCAAATGCTGCACTCTGTGGAATAGAACCACAACAACTTAAAGTCATTGGGGTGTCAGTCTTTACTTCCTGAGACATTATATTAGATTCTAAATGTTTAGTTTGGAATAAAGTTCTTGGTGGACAACCACTAATTTTCCTTACTGGTTAAGTACCTTTAGCCAGTAACTTTGAGAAAACAATATTGTTTCAAGTAACCAATCCTGTGCTAAAGGCATTAGGTGAGGATTAATTCTACTTTAATTTCTCAATCTGAATCTTTCCTGTGAAGATTACTTACTGGGATGGAAAAATACTGATCTATAGTTAAGTACTGGCCACAGGTTCTAGTTCCATTGCACATGAGTCTTGGCCAGATATTATCACAATCAGACCAGGAAGTATTCTTTCCTTTCTGTGATGGCCTGATCTCAGCATAATCACAAAAGAAAAAAACAAAACAAACCAAACAAAAAAAACCAAACAACAAACAGCCTGAAGTCTTGTACCCAGTTCAACTTTTCATCAGAGTAAAGAAATTGGCAGGGAATACATATGAAGAATCCACAGAAGTTGTAATCACTAAATAAAATTAGACAGCACTAATGGAAGCTACCAGGAAACTGATGCTACTCAGTATGCAGTTTTTGACACCTCTTTTCCAGACCACTCTCCATGAATAGTTTTCATGAACATGCACTTCAGGTGTATTAGTCTCTTACTGACATGCTATTTTAGCTGCTAAACACTTTTTTTAGCATTTCTACACTAATGAACTGGTACTTGGAATTGAGGATGAAGGTATTTTCCACTAAACTTCCAAACATTTCAGATTAATTTAGGGTTAAAATTCTACTACAGAAGGGCTACCTTCTTAAGGGCTACCTTAGCTTAAGGGTAGCTTGGCAGCCTCCAAGAGCTGTGAGGCTGTATCTGTGTCTGGAAATACAGCAATGAAACAATTGAAATAAAGAGGAGATAGAGAGCAAGCCTGCCATTGCACATTTGGACACCTTTATCGGGGCTGATCTATCTATCTACTACCAGTATTTAATGCAGAAGTCTTTCCTAAGGAGTGGAACATGCTAAACAGAAGACACAGAAAGTTGTATTCTTACCTGCTTCTCCTGAACTAGGTGTTAAATCGGCAGTCTCAGCCACAGCTATGGGTTCCTCTGATTCTCTCACAGCATACTTATTAATAAAACGCACACGTTCCTGAAAAGCCTGCAGATCAAAGTTTTATAATCCAGATAACAAAACTTTTACTGCATGTTTTAAATCTCAAAGAATTTTCAAAAGTAGGATTCTATCAGTCTTCAATAAGACCTAACATCAGGGTGCAAAGGGCAAGTCTGCCTGGTGCTGGAATCAGAAAAGATGCCACGGCCCCACTGAATCAGTCATGAGACATTGCACACTTACACTAAAGATCACTGTCCAATGAAATGCTGGGAAACCACTGATCTCTGCACAGTTTACAATAGTATTGGGAGTAAAAATAAAACAAAAGCTGTATAGATGCATGTATGGCTAATGCACATCCTAGGAGCTCCTATAGCCTGATGATTCAGACCTTTGGATGCAAACCCTTTCAGACTCAATTACCTTTGCTGCCAAAACCAGACATCAGCACTTCTGTCTTTTCAGAAGGCGACTTTGACTCACTTGGAGTTCTCTTAAGGGCTGTCATTGCCAGAATGGACAGAGAAACCATTTGGCTTTTGCTCAGCCTGGAGTCAGGCACTCAATTTCCAGAGTTACAGGGTCTGTGACCCCTGGAATAGGCAGACATTGGGCCAGGGTTGTCAAGAAGAAAGGAGAGGGAAAGCTTCTTAATAGCATATCCCAAATTTGGACCTTATTTTAGCATATTCTGTTGTGGCTACAATTTTCTCAACTACAGCTGTTTAAAAAAGAGTCACTAAAAAAAGCCCTAAGGGGCTTCATAAGTGGAACCTTGTAGTTGCAATTCAGTTGATTTTCTGATTAAAAAAGATAATGATGATAGAACCAGATTCTGAAGAGCCTTCACAAGTCAAAGGGGATTCATTTCTAGCGAACCTTTAGGAGGCTGTACTTGCATTTTCAGTCTCAGCACAACTAATCAAAGCTGCAGAGTAGCACTTTCTCCTTAGTTCAGAATTTAATGGAGCAGTGTCAGGAAAAGTTTTGAGCTTTGAACACACTGAAAAGAACTGAGAAAATCTGAGAGTGTAACTGGGAATGCTCATTTCTGAAGTTCATTTCTGAAAGATAATATTAAAACCCCCAAGTATCTAAGCTTTGGGATTCTGGCTGAACATCCCTTAATAGACAATGGTATTGGTGGTGACAGAGGATGACTGTCAGGTGAGTTTGAAGACTACACTTGGTTCTTTTATTTTTCTTTGGTAATGATGCTTCCAATTCTGAATCAACACTGCACTTTTTGCTTTGCTAGAAAGAACATGTATTATTTTTCCATCTCAAGCATATGTCACGTCAAAAGCACCCAGATGTACCTAGCAACTAGATCAGTATTGCTTCTCCAAAACTGTGAATTCATACTGAGAGTGTTACAGGCTCTTGGGAAACCTGCAATGCAGACTTAATTTGGAATCCTGGCTGCAAGGGACAATTTGGGTATTGATATGACCAGGTGCCAGTTCTTCAGGAGAAATAATTTTTGGCATGTTTATAGCAGTGTATTTCTCGACAGAATCTGTTCATGCTAAACATTAAACTTGTCATAAGTAGCAGTTTTGCAAATGTGTAGAGGTAGTGGGCTTTCTAAGGAGAAACTTCTCTATGTTTTGTAAAGTAGAATCTAAAGTCTCAGTGATCTACAGAAGCCTGATCTAGATGATCTGGATTCCTACCGAGAATTCAAGCACATAATCCCTTTTAATTCTTTAAACTGTAAAATTTCCTGTGTTCCAGAGGAGTGAAGCAATCAGCCCTATGAAGGCAGGTTTCTGTTGTGGCAACTGCTCTACCATTACAACAACTCCTGGAACCTGTGAAGAAACATCACTACAGAGATGGCACTCTGATATTACCTTGACAGCTCTCCCTGGCTCTGCAGACTCCCATGCTTCTTTCATGGCTCTGATCTCATCTACTCGCCGGGTGTCCTTTTTCACCTCCAGAAAGTCTGCCTCTTTTTGGTCACTAACTATGCGTAAAATCCAGTAGGGTGTGTTTGAATCTCCTGGCTGAAAGTATCATAAACATAGTGTAGTCACTTGTATACATCTATTATCAATCTTTAGGGTGAAGTCATGTTTTTGTATACTGGTAATTTTTCTGACCAATATACATTGTACAATGACAGACTTTGATATGCATTATGACACAAACAGAGGCTGCCAAAGGAAAGAACGATTACTTTGCAATGCCTGGAAGCTCTTTGAGGTGTTTTGTTTATATGTTTTTCCCTTCCCCCATGCAGCATGTTCCACATTCCCAGTTCTTCTGAACAGTTTGTCTGAACAAGAGTTCTTCGTGTGATTTTTTCATGCAATTGTTTTCTCCTCTTCTCTCCTCACACAAGCTTCTTTACTAGAAGCCTTATTATATTCAATTGGGATTTTTTGTATAGAAATAAACCTTGCTCTGTTTTATAAGGTTCTCTCCCAAGCACTTCCCAGTCTCTAAGACCCCTTAATGCATAGCTTTCTCCAAAATCACAGGGTAAGTAGGGCCTGATGACTAGTACACTATTCTGATGCCTGACAAAGAAATGAGATATTGTGCTGCGTGTTTCAGGAAAACATACCATCTGAAGGAGCTTTAAGGCTAAGACTTAGAACTAGGGTTAGGAGTTCATCTCTTGTTTAAAACTAAAGGTGGACATCTTCCTTTTCTGTGAGGGCTCCATCTCAAAACTTGTATCTGTTTCAATGTGGACTCCCAAGAACCATCATCCCAGCACCTCTAGTGTAAGGCACTGTTCCAGAGCTCTGTATAATTAGCTGTGGATATGTATCACAGGGAAATCTGCTGTGCAGCAAGGTTACTCAACTGAAAAAAGTCAGAAGAGATTTCTTAATGAAAACCTCCATAGCTCTTTGCTTAAACTACACACCATGAGGCAGCAAAATTCCCAGCAAAAGCAATGCCATTAAACAAGAAGCTGTCAGTTCCTTCATTGCTTTCCATTAATTCGTTTGCAACTAATAATGTCAATTATTCATTTTACAGCATAAAGGCTGGCAATAGCTTTTCAGACAGCCACAGAACACTCACATGGATTCACCCCAGGGGACAAGAACTTCCAAGTAAGCAAGTACACACCGATTTTTCTGCTACTGTATATCTGCATGCGAATGAAAATTGTGATATATGAGACAGGAACTGACTACAGTGGAAAGACTTATTTCATCTCCCTAAGAACCCATGAAAGCCACTACAATGAAGGATTAATGGGACACAAATATGGTGAATTCTTGGAATTTAGTAAGCTTTCAGCAGAGACAGAAACTACACCAACAAAAGGAACAACCAGTTTTTCCTTTATACATAAACAAAGAAATGAGCAAATTGTACTTCTAAACCCAGGATGCACATCTTTTACATTCAAAAATTTTAATTCAACATTTCTCAAGTGCTAAGCTAAAAAGGTGGCAAAGCAGGGTATAGATAAATACAAGGTACGTTAGAAGTCATAGCAGTACTGATTTGCAGACCTGAGAATATCTCTATATTCAGTGCAAGGATGGCACATTCAATAAATCAAGGCTTTGGCTTTGTTCTCACCTGAGATTCAAGTGATGGACTTTCTATCCAGATTTTCTCTTTTTCTATCTTCTCAAATGCTTTCTCTTTTGATCTTCTGGTTGATTTTGGAATATTTGCAATCTTTTTGACTTGGAAAGAAGTAAGAATTAGGGGAAAGCTGTGCTCCTCATACTTTCTTCTGTGTTTTACTCATATGTAGTTATAATGCATTATGATTTAGATAATGTCATTGTTATCCATACATATAATTCTCCATATAAAACCCAGGGTGGAATAACAGCACAAAACAGCCATACAGAGAGACAAGGAAAGCCAGTTAATTAGTTGACACTTTCAAGTACTACCAAGAAAGAGTATGAGGACCAAACAACTTTTAAAAGCATACTTACAAAGTGAACACGTTGTGACAGCCTTTTCTGTCCTAAATAACACTTTAGCTAGGGCTTAATTGAGAGTTTTTCACAGTGCCTGCCAGCATTGCTGCTTTGTGTATGGGTCAGCATAAAGACTGCAATGCACAGAATCACAGCCTGACTCTCACTTCCCTTCTACAGTCTCATACAATCTCTGTCAGTGTTTGTTATGGAAAGTAAGAAGCTCAAAACAGGTAAAGTCAAATGTTCTCATCTCACATCCTAAGACTGTCTAGAGCACCCCATAAAAATGCAAGGAAGTTAAAACAAAGAAACATGTTTCAGACTCAATGCATATTTAAGAAATGCAGAATTGTCATTGTCAGAACTATCTGAGAACATTTTAAATTAACTCTATTATCAAAACATATGTATACTATATGTTTGAATTAATGATGCTGAGAATTGACATTTGCAACAGTTATTTTGCAATGTCTTAGCTGGTGAGAGCTGTAAACAAGACTTCTTCCATGTCATATTGTTTTTAAAATAAATTAACAAATAAAGCATGTAAGAGCATATAACTTTAATAGCATAAAGAATGTGTCAGTTTAAACAACCAGGGATGAATCCAAAACACTATGAGAAAGATTTAAAACCTGAGTCTGAAATCTCCATTTCCTTCCACCTTCCTATTGCCTGAAACATTGAGAGAAGTGCTGAAAACTTAGATTTACCCAATATGGTAAGACAGGGGATTTCTCTCAGAAAATGTTGATATGAGTAACTTTTTCACAGTCTGATGATAATAATAAGCTATCTTTCAGTTTATGCTTTTAAGGCAGATATCTGTCACTTCGTGCTTTTCCAGTTTCTTTCCACTGAGGACAAATCATTGTACTGCAGAATTAATGAACTTTGGATGAGATTTGCATTGTCACGGCTGAGGTTACATGGATACATAAAGTTGTAAATATTAATGATATAGAAACATATTTATAACTCACATATAGCTCCACATACAAATATATATGGTATATAACTGTATTACATCATATATCATACACGTTTGTCTACAAATGGTATTATTCTTATCTCCTCATGATACTTAAAACATGTCCAGTGACATTTTACACCGAAGTGTAAAGCTTAAATTAATTCAGTGCTGCTATATTAATGAATGAAAGCAAAAAAATTAAAGTGGTCTCCACAAATATTGAATATACTAAAACAACTCCACAGGAAATGCAAATATAAAATAGTGATGTCATAATTCAAAGTTATAAAATGATTGCATAAATGCCTTTCCCTTTAATTTCACATTATCATCACATACTAACACCATAAATCAGGTCGGTGTACATGCATTATTTAAGGTGTAATTCATTTTTAGAGATAAATTATTTGTTGTTTACACAAACACTCAAAGACATTCAGTGTAGTTAGCTAAATGATCCCAGACAAAGACTTTTTATGTCATGGGACACTACAAGCTTTGTCTGGTTTCTAGAAATATTTTGTAACTCTGAATTATAACATTTTGATGCTCTGAACTTATAGCATACCCTGATACGTTAGTAAAGAATAAGCAAGCATAAGAAATGACATGGGCTACAATGACGTAACCTACTTTAACTCCAGATATGAAGGCTTAGTGCAAGATTAAGTTGAGATCTCCAAGCTCTCCCACGTACTGCACTGTTCAGGTTCCCCCAGCCCTTCCCACTTCCTCAGCAGAGCAAGCAGTATCCCCAGTTTAGGGATCAACCTCCAGAAATGTCTGGAAGGGGCAATGACTGCATTTTGGCATGCTACCCACTCTGATTCAAAGGGAGATATGAACAGCAGCTCAGGGCTTTTCTAAGGGCAAAGCCAGGCAAATGCTTTGAATGGGATGTGGTAAGAAAGGCAGGCAGATGATACAGAAAGTAAAAGGCCATTCCAGCTCATACCTTGTGCATCAATTGTCACAAACTCTCAGTGGCAGTTTTTATATTTGTGTGGCATCAAGAAAAGCTTGGTCATCACATGGGCTGACATTGATGACACACAGCTGACAGCAACTTTAAAATTAGCTTCTCTACTGCTTTTCAATTATTTATACAAAAATTAATTGAGTCTAATGCCAAATGGGACCCAAGTGATCATCCAGTCTGATATGCTGTCTATGACAAGTTCAACAATTGCACCAAATGATTCCTAGCTGAAACTCAGCTTCAGATTGAGATACATCAGTTCTCTTTTTTAGGCAAGTTAGCTACTCCCGATTTATGAAATTTAAATTACAGAGAATCTATGGTATTCATAGGTATAATACAGAGGAGTCTTTTGAAGCTGTCTTTGAGAAGATATCATGCTACTGCTATCTGAAATAGTCTCTGAGCATTTAGTGGGATTACCCAGTATTTGGTAGTAATGACTGTAAGTTGCCCCATAAGGAACTGTCTGTCATTAAAAAAAGATTCAGATGTTGCTTTTCCTTCTTTGACTGGACCCTCAGAAGGATTCTTGACAGATGGCAACATCAAAAGTCTTTCCAAAGTTGGGCTCACCCAGACACTAAAGTTACAGAAAAATCACACCAGGATAGAAGCAAACCAATAATGTGGTTGCATTAGTAGTGTGGGGTTAAGGTGTGGCTTAGATATCTAGAGGACCATCATGTATCCTCTGTGAACTATTTGTTCACTGAACACCAGGCAAGTGATTAATCACTACTGACAGGCAAGCTGGGAAAGTGAAAGAGAGAGAGAGAGGGATCTGAACATCCTGTTAAACATCCCATGGAATATTCTCCTTGGCATGAACCAGCAAGTTCTCCTGTGGGAAAATAAAATCTGTGGGAGAAACTTTCACCGCTCTGGAGGATAAAAAGGAATATTCCAAAGCATATTGCCTGTCCTGCCTTTTCAAACCTACCTCTACTATCTGGGCTGGGCACTCTGTCTTCTCCTGCTTTCCCAGTTGCATAGACAGCCCTCATCAACAGCTAAGGTAATTTAAGGCACTACATAAAATACGTGCTGCAGTCAGCATTCAGAACACAGTGATGATTCAGCTCGGGGCTGTGACAGTTGCTCAATAAAACTGATGATCTTACCACAAGAAAAATAAAACCAAAGAACCCAAAAACATAATAGCCAAAAATCCTATATGCAAAATGAACCTTAAAATTATTTTGTTCACACAGTCAAGCAAATGAAAATGGTACTAGAAGTTGCAAGACTGCCTGCTAATCGTTCCCCCTTTACACAAGAATCTTGAGCTTACATTTTTAAAAGTCTTTTTCCATTGAAGACTTGCTCCACAACAGTTCTCAGAAGAGGCAAAAAAACCCCCAAAAAACAAAAACAACAACAAAAAAACCAAAAAAAAAAAAAAACACAACCAAAAAAGGGAGGAAGAAAGAGACAAAAGAATGAAGACATAAATGAAGTATAAATAAACTACATGGAAGTTCCTAATTTCTGTGTACTTAGGTTTTCCTGCCTAATGCCTTTTTAATGTTTTGTTTGTGCAGTGTGCTCTTTAATGAAACATTTAAGGGGATTTAATATATAATAAATATGACTTTATTATTCACAAAGTAACTTTCGCTAACACAGTTCTTTTTACAAGTGCAAACATCAAGAAATACCAAATTATCATAGCATCTGTATATCAGAGAATTTACTGTCTTCAAAAATGTTCTAAATAAGTATTTATAATGTTGGTGAATATCAAGAGTATAATATTATGGGTCTTAATTTAAAGGGAGACTAGTTTAAAAGATTTTAGTAGATCTTAATACAAAGTTAAAATATGCTTTTGGTGTGATAAATTAGCTTTAACACAAAATTAACTCTAGATGGCAGTATTGGTTTACATGAAAAAGAGATATTTGAAAAGGAGAAAACTTTTCGCATAAATTTTTAACCTGGATCACTGCAGCATACTTAAAAATCACGTGGTGAAACAATACCTTTTTGGTTACATACCAATATTATTATTATATTAATTTTGTGTTTGACAACTTGTGTCAGCAATTTTAAAATAGTAAAGGTCAGTTTTCAAAATTATGTAAGACTAGGTCACAATCAGAAGAAATAAACATTAGAGCTTTCCCCCAAAATACTTAACTATAGTATGCACTTCAGATAAATATTGCTGTTAATAGGGGTACAAAAATACACACTAAATATTAAATGAGTATTGGTTTTAAACTTTTTTCTATAAGTTGTGTTTAAATTCTGTTGGTGGCCCAGGCAATCTGGTATCCTTGTATAAACAGAAACACTCAGTTAATAAAAACTGTGACATGGATTTGGTTACTTTGAAAGGCAGCATTTATGAGAGGGCACAAAAATTACACCATTTAAAAATTATTGTATTTACACCATTTTATAATAATAAGGAAAAATTGCTTGTTATCATTGACTGTAGTTTAAGTATTTTTGATGAGCATCAATTAGCATGGAGAAGGGGAGCTATGAACTGGAGTACTGCTACCTTGAATTCAACATGAGAACACTCATGACACTGACAAGGTTCAGCAACGTGAGCTGAAGCTGTATAGAAGGATATTGTCAAGTGCAAGCTGTCACTATGTAGCCAACTTAGAAGTGTAAGAGGATGTAACAGAATTTCTGTTGTGAGAAGCAGTCTGACAGGGAAAATGAAGAGAATGAATGCAATCACCTAAGAAGAAAAGTTGATATTGTGAAGAACCCAACAAAATTCAAGCAGGTGAAATCATTGAAAGAGCTGTGTACAAGCCTGTAAGCCTACATGACATAGCTCCTCAAATGCTACTGAAATTGACTACAGGCTACAGTAAATCAAGAAGATACATATTTTTAAAGTTGTGTAATAATAACTGAAGAAATGATGAAAAGTTTCCAATATTGCATATATCCCAAACCCAAGACATATAAAATTATCCATCAGCAATTACTGCTGCCGAATCTAAGTTCAGTCCAGAGTACTAGGAATTACAGAAAAAAACACTTGACCAGACATTTAAAAAGAAACATGTAAATAGAATAAAAAGTTAGACATACCACTAGCGAATAAAACCCAAACCATCCTAAATAAATTTTTGAGTATTAACAAGTGTATGTACATGAGGAAGCAAATAACTTCTTATTGCTTCTTTTAAAAATTGAGTTATCAAACTTTAATATTAATGATACAGAAAATCTACTGAATGATGGGAAGTAATATTTTAGGTTCTGCAGAAACCTAGGGCTGAGAACACAGGAGAATCAGCTGCATGTGTGTGTGATGTTCTGCACCAGCAGGTGGAGCAGGGCTGCAGCCTCAGAGCTTGTAGGGGATGCAGAGGCAAGCTACTGGGCACATTAGGTGTCTAAGTGCAGATGGTGGAAAGATCCACCTTTTTAGAAATGTACAACCTATCCAGGGAACTTCCATTCTTTCCAGCCCATGAGGGAAAATCAAGATAAAGAAGCTGGTGCTGTTTGTGTTTGTGCTCTGAGTGTCTGTCTGAGATCTTGTAGCTGGCAATGTGTGTGTATGTGTATACACACACATACATGGTGTGTATGTGTGTCTATGTGCACATGCTTGGTGGGATTACATCTTCAGCCTCAAAAACAGCTGGACCCGGGAATGTGCAGTGGCAGAGCCTTGTCTCTCTCAGGCTCTTGGGTCTGGAGGGACAAACTTGAATATAATAAAGATCTAAATAAATAATTTTTTGCCAAATTTGCTGATAAAAGAAGATGCAAATACAAGACATTTATCTAATTTACAGAATAGTGACTGGGATTCTAATTTCTTTTCATATATCTTGGGATTGGTTTTTACTGTTCCTTAAAAATAAATGCTATAATAATCTGTGAAAAATCAAAAACCTTTTGTAATTTCTGTCCCCTTCTATATGACTTGGATATACAGACTGTACTTGGGAGCTTTCCTAGTTTTTTCTCTTGCTAAAATCTTCTCCAAACAGTACAGAAGGAATACATTTCCCAGATCAGGCCTTTCCCCCACTTCTTGTTCAGTGCATTTTCTTAAATTATTAGCAGGCATGTTTCTGTTCCAGATCTCTGCCTAAAGCTGAACCCTAAGAACATGAGTCTTGCAGTGTATTCTGATTTCCTTGTATTTTGTGAACTGAAGATGTAGATTCATGCAAACTTAATTTCTAAGAATTATAAAACAAAAAGTTTTGTTGCCTTGTTATTTCACTCAAACAGTGACAAAAAATTTGCTTGGAGTAGTATTTTTTTTTTTTATCAGTAACATGATACATTTGACTAAATATCTACTTATATCAACCTACCTTTAATTTCATCTTTCTGCATTTCTTTCAGTTCCTGAACAAGTAAAGACTCACTCTCAGTGAGTGGCCAACTATCATGCAACACAAATGCCTCTATTGAATACTGGTGAGACTGTGAAAGAAAATGCAAAATGCTGAAGTCATAACAATTGCAGCAAGCATTCAAGACCTGCAGGTTAGTAAAGTGCCAGCTATTGAATTCAGCAAATAAAATACATCATTAATTTACAAGCTTGCACATAAGCATTCACAAGAAGCTTAAAAAATTAATGTTAATTCCACAGATCTTATTTTAATTCCTGTGAAGTTAAACAATTACTCATGTGTTTATCAAGTAAAACTAAACTGGGCTACACAATAAGGAGCTACATTCCTGTAAGATTTCCATGTAACTTCCTTATGTATGCCATGTACTAAAACAAAGACTTTTGTCTTTGATTTTAAGACCTTCTACAGGGCTTTGAACCCTTGTACTAGCACTCAATAATGCCTTAATTTGAGGTACAGGTGACAGGGTCCACGGGCTGTTTTAAACATTATCTAAACTGAATTAGAAATCATTATATTTAGAAACTGTTTTCCAAAGTTCTAGGGCCAGTTCTGAGTCAAAGAAACAACTTTGGAGTTTATTTCTCAATAATTTTTGTTTTCTTTATTTTGTTGCAATTGAACTCAACTATCAAGAAAAAAATCACAGCAGAAAAACATGTGGAGACGTAAAACAAGAACTATTTCAGAAAGTATACCCAATTTCTCTAAAATAGACAATACTAAATGGCATCAAGAAAAAAACAATGGTTTGACATTAGCCTCTCATAAACCTGGCTTGAGTAGCAGATATTATGTGTCTGTTATTAAAGCTTGCAGCTGACTGGAAACAGGTGTTTCTCTTTGAAAACTATTACAGATGATCTTCTATAATATAGTATTTCAAAGAAAGCTCATATTGAAGCATCAAAACTTTAATTTAATTTCTGGCAACTTTTGATCTTTATGTGCAAGTTATGCTATACTTGTATTGCATTTGCCAAATGAAGAACACTTAAAGATAGAGTAAATCACCTCAATGTAAAACCCCCTAGTTATTTAGTCATTCATACATGTATATTGTCCTTTTTTAATCACCTCATTCAAAAGCTATCAAAAATCTTAATTTGGGATTTTTGTTTTACCCCAGGACAGAAGATCTTTCCACATGTACCAAATGAATTAACAATAACCCTTTCACTGTTTGTTTTCTTTTTTTGTTCTTCCCAAATCCCAGTTATTAACAAACTCTTACTTGTTGTGGACTTCCAACATTATTTTCAAAGCTTTCTGAGACTGAAGATTCATCTATTAATATCACTGAGCATTCTTGTACCAGGTCTGTCTTGGAAGAAGTTTTGCTGTCCTTTGATGAATTACTACTTCCTTTTTTTAATTGTCCAGTTTCTAATCCCTTCACTGTGCTCCTCTGAATAATCTGTAGGTTTTTTACTGCAAGATAACAAAAAAAAAGGTCCTGAAATTCTATGAATTACTGGTATGAGGTAAACACATGTTCTCAGAAAGTATCAGAAAGAATTAACATCGTCCATTTTCTCATACTGGACTATACTCACAAGCTTCCAATTAAAATCATGCTTATTCCAAATACTACCGTGATTTCATTTCACATGCAAATCAAAAATATCTTCAAAGGAAACAATGAGAAATTTAAGACTGTTGTTGCTGTTAATAAAGCATATAATTTCTCCCCTCAAAACCCACGCTTATTTCCTGCACTAACCATCGCAGCACCATGCTATACACTACAAAATACAGAGAGTCTTGTGTGGGATCCCTTTGTGGCTAACCTAATTTAATAAATTGTGTAAAAGTGGATGAAGGGAAGAGGGGCATTGGCCACAGTTTTGACACTGCATACTCTTATAGAAGTATATCTCTTTGTGCCAACCTGAAACAAAGATCATAGCTAATGTGAGCTGAAAAAGACCCAGTCTTGAAAGGAGATATAAAACTATTTGTGATCTATCCTTTATCAATGTACATAATTGTCACCTAAGGAAGATGTTATGTGGAAAAACTGTGAAAACCAGAATGTTCTAAAGGCCTGGCACAGAAATATTAACACAGAAAATATAAATTTGTTTTCATTTCTAATGCCATTGAAATGTGTTATTTTGCCTGCATGTCTACAGAGGAAGTAAAAAGGTATTGCAAAGGTGAACATCTCATAGAAAATTGAATAAGGACAAAGAATAACACCTCTGAGGAAGTAGTTTCACTTGTATTACACTAACCATCACCTGTGTTACACTGGACCATCAGCTAGGAAAAAGATATTATTCTGACTTCACTATGGACAAGAGGCTTTACTCCTCCCAGGGTTCATTGTATAAAAAAAGGATGACACTGCATCATGGCAATACTTTGAAGGAAAAATGCACCCTTTCATGCATGTTAATGCAACATCCAGGAAATTCACAGGAAGTGGCAGGACTATTAGACATCAGATTCAACAAAATTTAATGCTGGTGTGTCAAAGAATAAATGCCCAATTAGAGTTTAATTTTGCCCCTAGAAACTCAAATGGAACCAGGAAATATTGTTTCTTATGAAAGCCAATTGTCATTAATTATTTCCTATTGCCTCTTTCCCCTGAATAAGCCAGTGCTTCCTGTTCCTAAGAAAAGCAGAAGTTGTCCGAAAATCAAAGACCTTGCAGAGATGGTCTCTTAAAGAGGTCTCAAACTCCTAATCACAAGTTCTGAGTTGCACTTCTGCATTGCATTCAGAATCTTTAACACCAGAGCCACCCCTATTGCTGTCCCCGTGGCCAGGAAGCCTGTGAGAGAAATGTGAGGGAAGACAATACTTGGTTTCTTCTAAACCATTTCTAGGGTGCTGCAACTCTCTGGCTGTTATTTTGTAAAAGGTATGCCTAAGCCAGCCTGTAACTGTGGAATAGTTTCTCACTCAGCTGCTGCTGAGCTTTCTAGGTATCAGTTAACATCCCATGCTGTGAAGGTGAGAGTAGATGTAGTTCATAGTGGTTAGATTACTAGGTCTTTCACCAGAAGGAACCAAAATCATGAGGCTTTCACTCAACAGAAGTGCATTTGGATGAATAAGAATCAATATCCACAGATCCGAGCCTTGAATAATAGACATCTGTAAGAAAACCTGTTTCAAAGAAACAATTTGTATTCCAGATGGAAGAATAACTACATAAAGACATTTTCTAATTGGCATAAATTGCCTTTAGGTTACCATTTGCAATATTTGCATAAAGGTTTCAAGTCAGGAATGATCTTCAGTGCCTGTCTGAGCATGGTTAGCAAGGGCCAGTGGATCTAATTTACAAAAGGGTAGCTTTAAAGCAGTGAGGCCACCTAGATGTACTCACTCGGACTCAACAGAGGGGTGAGCTCTACTCCAGGATATGTTGTGTCGGGGCTTTAGGAGATGTGCGCTGCCCTCTGCAGGACCTTACCTCTACCGAGCAAGACAGGCAGAGTTCAAGGGAGGTTGAATTCTTTAGGCTACAACTGGTTTTCATGAATGCATCACTATTCTCCTCTTCTCTCTCTCCTAAGCCTGAAGAGCTTGAGTATTGAACAATTCTATAAAGATTTTCCCAGAGGAAGATCCTGCCATGTAGATAATTCCTCTCAGAATGGTGGAATCCTCCATAAGAGTCAATCTGCTTCCTTTGCAGGAAAGATCACTTGGAAAAGCTCCCCAAAATACAGACATAGCCAATAATTTTCGCAATGGTCACCAGGTGGAGCTGGAACACTAAGTTTTTGTCTTACTACATACAAAACTATATGTCACTTTTGGTTTTCCTAAGCTCTGGATAGAAGAAACTTCTACCTACCTCACTTCCATATTCAAACAAATATCTGAAAGATATTTTTATACTTCTTAACAGGATTGTATCAGACTGTTACTGTGGAAAATAAAAGGATTGTGAGCATTCACTTGCCCATCTGTACTTAGGCAACTGCTGTGCTTGTATCAACAAAACAAACAGTGGTTGCAACCTGCGTGTCAATATGTAAGTCCTTTCTTGTCAAGCAAATGTTCAAGGTCCAAGTAATATGCTACATCTCAGAAGAGGTAAATGTATTCAAAATCAGTTGGTTTAATGTAGTTTTTGAGCTGTAAAAGACATTAATAGAACAGCTGTGACTGGAGATGAATTAACAGGTCGTGGGTGGGCAGGGAGATAATGTTTTATTGGTGATGGTTGTGCAATAATGTCACTTAAGAGAATTCTGGCAACACAGTGATCTGCCCTGAGAGGCAGAACATGTGTGGTAGTGAATAAGTGTCAAATTTAGGAATTGTATGTGGCTTAACTAACAAGGTTGGTGCCAGTGGTATAGTATAGTAGTGTTTTGTTTATTCTTACTCTGAGAAAACACATTTTTTACAGAAGGAATCTTGTTGCATTCAATGTCAGTTGTCCGAATCTTCACCCGAACTTCGAATCAGTATTTCCGAGTGTTTCTATATTGTTATTGTACACGCCATAAAACACTTTTGACCAAAGAAACATGCTTTTACAATGCCATAGATCAAAAGCCTACTGAACCTAGAGACACTCAGTAGACTGGGTAATACAATACTCTCATATTGGTTCTACTGAGTACATTTCCCAATATTTTAATTTAATTTGGATACTATGAAAGATTCTACACGAAGTATCTTCGTGATATACAGGATGCATATTAATAGGAAAAGAACTTCACTGTTAAGGCCTGTTGGTCTAGTGTCATAAAAATATAATAGTAAAAAACCCCCAATAAACAGTAACAGCTTCATAGTCATTCATCCCAAATGGCAACTCTCTGTATACTCACACACACTTAATGAGCATCAGAATATTCATTTCAACTTCAAATATGGCCTAAAATCATAACAGGATTTTAGGGCTACCACTGCTAAATAGACCCTGATTCAAAAACCTTCCTATTTTCAACCAGGTTAATGTATCAGGCATTTCACCAAATAATCCAAAGTGGATTAAAATAATTTCAAATTAGCAGAAATTATTTGTATCATTGCACATTAGAGCTAGAATGTTTGTGTCTGCTTTCTGAGGATATTTTGCAAAGTTCTCACACATGTGTCCTGGTAGATTGGCAAAACCAAAACACCATTTCTAGTTATTTTGCCCCATCCTCTCCCTTTCAGCATTTGGTGAAATCCATTTCTCTTCTCTGTCACTTGATTGTGCCTTTTAACTTATTTCAGTCTTCAGACTATCACCTTCACAAGGAGACAGTCTCCTGAAACAAAGTTTCTCCTTCACTTTACAAAAAGTAACTTGGTGACTTACTGCCATTACTGTTATGTTGATCCTAAGCTGAGCTATTTTATACTTTCCTCTTTCTATTTCCACCAGTCTACCATTAAGTTTACTAGACCACTTCCACATCCCAAAACCATTAACCAAAAATAGCTACTGATTATCTTGGTAACTCAGACAGAATCATGACAGGTTTTCTCTGACTTCCTTTAAAAACCTAATGTTTTCATTGGATGAATGACATTTTAAGAGCATGGTCTCCATAGGATTAAATTTTTTTTTATATTTCTGGTAATAACAAAGTGCAGTTGAGAAAGAATCAAGCTGTTTCATAAATAATATTAAATTAATTTTTTTCCCATAAAGCATTGGAATTTCATATTGCACATTATGCTAAAGGATCATGTTTGGAAACTCCAGAGTTTAAAACAGTGGAGGTGAGCAGAAGAAATATAACGCTATTCTGGGCTTTAGCAAAGCAATAATCCAGTATTGAACAATTTGTCTTTGCCTTGGGTTCTCAGTATGCTTAAATAGGCAAACTCAGATTCATAGAAGAGTTATTATTTAGAAGTTTTCATAGAAGGACTGAAGACTTTAATATCTTACATAACTTGTGCGTAGTAGTCTTGCTGGAGAGTACAGTAGCAGACTTGTTGGCTTATAAACATCTGCTTTATTTTAGCAAACTTGTAATTCTTATGAAGAATTAATTGTAAAACTGAAACACAAGTATAATGAATAATTCAAAATAGCACACAAATGAAATGGAATCATTTGATTTAGAAGTGAAAAATATAGAAAACAGGAAAACAAATGTAGATGATCAAAGAAGATGGCATGGCAGTCGCCTCTAAAATCAATTAAGTATAAAAGAAGTATAATGGAGACAGGCAGATGGCACTTAATTTTTGTTTAAAATTACCTGAGCACTACAGAGTCCATTGTTGAAAATATGTCTAAGAATTATGTACCTCATTCAATTGTACTTATTGGTTTTGAACAGTGAATTAAAGGTTAGTGAAAAGAGTAGGGAAAAATAGTATTTTCCATTATAATCTACAGTTACTGTAAGAATGTATATCCTACAGTGAATAAAATTATTAAATATGGCATGCAATACTTACACTGGGAGCTCAGAAGTGATTGATTACTCCAGAAATTAAAAACTGGGATGACTGCATTGCCCTTTCCAATGATACTTGTAATTTCCTTCTCATTATCTAGGACTTGTAGTTTAATGAGCACGTCTGAATTAGAGGTTTGTACCTGCAATGTAGCAGTATGTGGTGCTCTGACCTTTACAAAATACCTAGAGAGGAGGAAAAAAATATAGCAATATAATCAAATATACCTGATAATTCTTTTTATGAAAGTACCTAAATGTTGTGCTGAACTGGAAGCAAACACTTAAAATTGAGTTACAAATCAACTGTTTTCCTGGAATCTGGTGGCTAAGCTTCCTGTAGTGAAGTTTAATGCAGTGAATCAACAAAAAAAGCAAGTGCTGCTGCTGAAAAATTGGGTGGTCTAGCTTTTTTTTTTTTTTATTGTCTTATAAAATGTCCAAATTGACATTTGACTGCCTACTGTCCTTTTTTTGTTGAATATCTTTAGTCAGACTAAGGAACTGTATCATTACTAAAGTACCTGGGGCGGGGGGGAAAAATTATTTGCTTTCAAAAAGGTAGAGACTGTGGCATTAAAAACCAGTTGAATTAGATTCCGAGGACAAAATTCAAATAATTGTTATGTTCAAATAATTCAAATAGTTCAACAGTTATTATGTTGCAACCCATTTATTTATGCATTGTATGATTTTTGTCCATAAATTCAAATTGTTATGACTAATCTCACCAAACAAGCAAAGAAATAAAAACAGACAAAAAATCCATCACCTGGACTTTGGCACATTTGGAGCTAGAAATACGTTTTTTTTTTTTTTTAAGATTGGTAATATCAGGAGGGGGGAAAGAATGAAAATCATCCAGAGAGTGCTTACAAAATTTTAGTGCATTTGTTTTGTTTCCATTATGTGCTTTCTTTGATTATATTGAAACTGCCTCCTCTCTTAAAGAGACTTGTATCCCAAGAATAATCAGTTGGTTTGAAATATTGAAAAAGCTTTCAGGAATCAAGAGAAAATGTTTTAGAATTAACCTTGAAAATATACACATTTAATCAGCTCTAAGCACAGGGCCTGTTTTAGTGCAATGTGTAGGTCTTTGTGAAAAAACTGAAGTATAGCAATTTAGGAATGGTCAGTTCTGAACTCAGAATGGATTTTAAAGAACTTTAATTAATTAAAAATAAATAATAAAAACTAAATCACATTTGTTAAATATATTCTCCTAAAAGAATCAGCATGCTAAAACAAAACATAAATAAATTTTTTTGCCAACATTGCAAGATGGAAATTGGTCTGATATATTGAGAAAAAACATGTTTTAATACGTGTTTATTCCCCAAAAGTAGTATGGAATTTCAATAATTGGCATATGGATAAGACAGAGCTTACAGAAATGCAAAACACTGAATTTTGATTTTCAAGTTACAGTCTGTGTACTTCACACCTCTTCTTCATTAAGTATTGGCAATATTTCTGAAATAACACTTTCAATCAAATGTTAATTAGATAGCCCATAACATTCAGATATTTGCATCAATATTCTCCCCTTCAAAGAAAGAGGAAAGAACACATTTTTCTGGTAGGGATGACCGATATAAAACCCAGAATGTATTCATTCCTCTCTCAGTATTTACCTAAACAATAGGAACTCTTTGTTGGGGATGTAATACTCCTTAAACTGTAGAGTAGAATAGGTATTATTTACAGCAGCACGAGAGAGAACTGGAAGGGCACTGTGGGAGCTGATGAAGCGGAGCTTCCATTTGCCACCTGCCACAGGTTGGTTACCAGTGTGGGCTTCAGCCACAAAAGTGTATCCTTTCTGAAAGGGGAAAAAAGTCATTTTTACATGGCAGTAACACTACTCAAAAGGCACTGTAAGACTACATGCAACACACTTTTTGTCCATTACACTTATTGATATAATAAGATGTCCTTCATCAGCAAGAATCTTATAACTCCAGTCTATTCTAACTTACGGAGCAACTCTTATTTTAGTAATTTATATTTGGCAAAAAGTTACATGGCAAGTCAAATCCAATTTCATCCAACTGGAAAGATGGCAGGTTGTTTTAGGGACAGATACAACCAAAGTCATTTTCTAACCAAATTATTTGATGATTTAAAATGCTCCTTCATGCTTAGGCAGTGTGAATGTAGGAGCGGATGAGTTTGCTGTGTGGAAATTTAGAGATCAGATTACTTCAGTCTTCAAATTAACATCTACCCTAATTTAATAATGCCACTGCAGATATAGCATGAAATGACAAGATATTAATCTTATTTTTATTAATATATTAAGAAAAAATATTTCTAGTATTAGAAAAATCAAGTAAAAAATAGTAAAAAAAAAGTGACACACAACTAATAAGGCTGATGCAGATTTAGGTGCTCTTTATGAATCCTGAGAATAGGTATATGATGAGCTAGGATATAACATAAAAAGATTCAAACTTTGATTAATTTGTATTTGTGGAAATGAAGGCAATATGAATGTGAATACTTGAAAGGCAGGGGCAAGAAAAAGGGATATAAGGAGTGAAATGGCCACGTGTAATGTTGCAGGGGAACTCAGAATTAAGTCCCTTTTTCATGTAGTCTAACTAGCCCTACTAACTCCCTATTTCAATATTAAAATTTCATGTTCCAACGCAGAAATAGTCCAAATGAAAATTCTTTGAAAGGCTCTATTTCTTTCAGTCCTCTTCTAAATTGCATTTAAAGAAATCAGCATTTACCAGCAAAAAGAGCTTTGTTGAAAAATCCTTATAATAAATAGGGTTGTGATTTCAGAACTATCCAATAATCCAGGGCTGTGGCTCCATGAATACTGAATTTTTAGAATGAAAGTAAAATAAATTATTCATTATTCCAATTTGTGCAACTGTAGCAGTAAGGCACTTTACAACCTTTAATCACCACAAAGTAATAGCAACCACTCAGAGTAACCATTCAGGAGAACTCACTTATTTAAACATCTAGTTAAGCACAGACTCACAAGCCCCTCTGTTCCTATCAAGTATACCTGGAATCAGAGAAGGACTTAGCCAGATATTTAACTGCTTTTTGTCAGCATGGGATGCATGAGAAGAACAAATTCTCACGATTTCTCTTTGATACCTATCTATAAAGCTAATGTTATACAATCTTAATGTTCACTAAAAATATTCAGAAAATTCAGACTGAGGACCAAAAGTTTGTTTGAGTGAGCACTTTGTGAATACTACAAGCAACTAGAAAGCACAATAACTGAATTTTGTGTCTGGTGAGAGGATCAAGTCACTACTGAGAAATAAGAAAAGTGATGTCAACAACCCCATTAAATTTATGTCTCTCTCATAAATAACCTTCAAAAGGCTTCACTACTTACTTAGATATCCTGTTACAATTCACTGTCTCTAGAATCAGTAAGGAGTGTTTTCTAATATACCACCGAAATTAACTTAATGGCAAAGTAAGATGAATCCCTTGTGTCCTTCTATGTCTAGTCAAGAGAAATAACTGAGCAGTGTCCTTGCTCAAATAGACTTCTATTTTCTAGACTATATATGGTGGTAGTGATGATTTCTTAAACTCTTATCTATGTAGGTCAGCTGAAGCTTGAGTGATTATCTCTATCCTTTTCTACAATCTGTTCAAAAGACTTGTGAATAATAGAGTAGAATTAAAAAAAAAAAAAAACACCACCAAGAACTAAAACAAATTCAACTGTATCCACAGTAGAAAAAAACCACACAAAAAAATTTTAATGAAACCTGAAGAATCCAAATAATGCTAGCAAGTACCCAATTTCCATCTAGGTTGTAAAGTCTGCAAAAAGAAGACAGATTTTATTACTAGTGTACAGATTTTATCTTCATTGTCAATCATTCTGAAATGAACTTTAATGTGTTCCAGAAGTGTCTCTGCAGCAGATTAACAGTATCTGTTGACAGAATCCCTTTTTATTTCTGTTGTAAATTGCTAAGTCATAGTTTGGAGGCAGAACTGGTAAGTGTATTTTTTTTAAATGACTTTTTATGTAATAATACTGACAGTTCAGAATTCAGGCATACTGAATAATTTCTTGCTTGATGACTATCATGACATTGTTGACTATTTTTTACAAAATACTGTTACAAAAAATGTAACAGATTAAAATAATACCATTGTGTTTACTAATTACAAATGTCTTGTCAAAGCATCAATAGAGCTTTCAAAAGCATGTGCAGATCCACTGAAACAATAATCAGCTATTTGGAAATGGGAAGAAACAAGCTAAATTGTAAAGCATAAGGTTATATCTTTACTGAGGAACTCGAGAACTCAGTGACTGAGAAATGCAAAAAGAACAAGTAGAAAAATACAGCATGCCTGCACAATTCTGCTTTAATACTCTAAAAATCACTCTTTACCGCTATAAACCACATTTAATATTACAAAATATCAACCATTAGTTTAGCAAATAGTAACAAAACTGTGGGTTTAAGAGAGGACTTCTTCAACAGGGAAGAGCAGGAATCCAATGAAAAGGGCCATTTTCATTAGTAATTGACAGAATCACAGAGGCTACTGTGCTGTACCCATGGGAAGAAAATACATGTCCTTATAGTTCCTTATGCAAAATTTTATGACCACAAGTTAAACACTGGCACAAAGTTTACTGTGCTTAGTGTTATGCATGATGAACAGGGAAAAAAAGCACAAAACAACAGCAGCTGGAAAGAGTACAGAGGAAAGAATAATCAAAAGCTGACTAATAAATATTCAACACAGTAGATCACTGATGGTCTCTTTTCAAACTTGCTAATAAAGAAGGGTGTGCTTTTAAGTAGAACACTATGACATAGCTAAAAATCTTCACAGAATTTGGGCATTTGTTATTATTTTTAAAATTACACTTTTCACAACAACTTCTTGCATTTACCTTGTTTTTGGTATAAACATGAGGTGTCACTTTGAAAAAGGCATGTGGAATTTCCTCCTGTGTGTCATTATCAAGAACATGTAGTCTACAGGAAGGGATAGTGGTAAACACCTTTGTCAATATAAACATGTCTTCTGGGACAATAAATATTTCTCTAAAAAATAAAAATTAAATTATATCATAATTATCTTCCCAAATAAAAGGATATGTGCAATACAAAGCAAAGAATATTGCCATGGTTTAACCCCAGCCAGCAATTAAGTACAATGCAGCTGCTCAGTCACTCCCCACATTCAACCTACCTGAGGGAAAGAATCTGAAAGAAAATATAAATCTTGCTTTAAGAACAGTTTAACAACAGAAAAAAAAAATATACTAATAAATATTCTAGTAGTATGAATATTTTTAATGATTAGGAGAGGGAGAGGCATAACAGAACCAGAACAGTAACAAAAGAAACAGAACCAGAGGCAGTAACAAAAGAAATGAATGATGATCAATACAACTGGTGTCCACCCACTGACCAATGCCCAGCCTGTTCCTGAGCAGTGATCAGCCCCCTTTCAGGTAATCATCCCCCAGTTTATACACCGAATGTGACATTCTCTGGTATGGAACATCCCTTTGGCCACTTCAGGACAGCTGTGCTGGCTGTGATTCCTCCCAAATTTTTGTGCACCTCCTCACTGGCAGAGTGTGAGACACTGAAAAGTCCTTTGCTTGGGGTATGCACTCAACGACCAAAACATGAGTGTGTTATCAATATTGTTATCAAACTAAATCCAAATACATTGCACTCTACCAGCTACTAGGAAGAAAATTAAGAAGAAATTAAGAAGAAAATGAACTCTATGCCAGCACAAGCCAGAACAAGTACATGCCAGAATTTAAGGAAAGCAGACAGGTTTTTAAGCAGGCTAGTGAAAAACCAGAGTGTTTTACTACTCCCCCATAAGAGTTCTAAGGGCTCTGTGAAACTCACCTGAAAACCAGAAACCAGGCATTTGGTGGTTGATCTGCATATGTTACTTCATATTCAGTGAAATACATCTTACACCATTCATCTTCATAACAAGGAAACTTTTCAACTGAATTACAATTTATTTTAAATATTTCTCTGGAAAGCAGAAAACAAGATAAATACTTCAATCTAATCAGGATGGCATATATATATATATATATATATATGCTAACTTTTACTTATGCTGATCATGAAGAGCAATACTTTGTGCATGAAGGTAAAACAACATAAAATGTGTTATTAATGTATCTCTAGTAGTCTTGTTCACGCTTAAATTAAAAAAAAAATCACGGAGGGATCAGGTCTTTCAGACCTCATGGCAAATACATACACTTATTCCTATCCATCAGTCTACCTGTGACTATAGCTGCTTCTAATATCCCAAACTTCTACAAAATTTTACCTCTTTCTTTTTTCATTTTTTTAAATGAATATCAGTTAGCATAACTTCACTTTATAGTAAGTTGTCATCTTAAAGCTGTGGAATCATTAGGAGATTAAAATCCTTCATTTAGTTTTAAAACTTTTTGGAACAACAAAGGAATAAAAGCAAAACTTATTGGCCAAGGTGTTAGATTGTTATGCTAAATAGAAATCGGTTAGCTGTTAAAAAAAAAAAAAAAAAAAAAAAAAAAAAAGCACAAGCACATTAGCATGATTTTAACACTCAAATGTATCCCTCAGGACATTGCCTATGAACCCCATAAGTTTTATAAGTCTGAAGGCAGGCTAAAAACTGCATCTCATATTTGCTGATGTAGAAATGCAACAAATATAAAATAGATGGCTAATATTTGTAATAAGGCTGTGGTTGCAGAGTCCTGATCCCATCAATGTACATAGGCTTTACAAGAACAGAAACACTAAAAGGTGAAATGAAATTATACCTGGTGTGAGTATTGCTCAAATTGCTGGTTATAAGGAGTGGGGATTTATATCCACAGGCAGTAATTACTGCCAGTTTTCACTTCTCACCCCTGGAAGAACTGATTTATAGCTAGATCAGTTGTGTGAACACTTGCAGAAAGTTTTTTGGAGGACTTAATGGAAATATGTGATCCCCAGATAATATTAGGCTTGCAAATGACTTAATGAACACTTGAAATTAGAATAGCCATCTTTCCAAAAGCTGTAATAAAATATCAGGGAAAGCATAGAAATACACCTACTACATTTCTACTATCTAGAAATACATCTACTTCAAGCAAGTGCTACGAAAAAGTCCCCGTTGAGATAATAAACTGTATACAATTACATAGTAAAGTTATCTTCTTTCTACTGTCAATCAGGATTGCTTAACAGATAGCACAAATCAAAAAGTTTCCTTAAATCAGCTGGTTAACTGCTTAACTAAGGAATCAGTTTTATACTTATGGAATCAGCCTACCAAATACTAAAAAAATTTAATACATGCAAAAGTAATATTTTAGATTAAAAAAAAAATCAGAAAAAAATGGTAACATATCTAAAAATTATATTTTACTCATGTAGGGTACACAGAATAAAGCATAGCATATATTTAGTATATACTTTATATATTTAGTATATAGAGCATGACAACTGCCTGAAATAAAATAGTTTGATTTATTCCATGTTTACCTTAACAACGTTACAGCACACTGTTCAAAATTTAACTCAATCATAGTCCACAAGTTTTTCAAAGTTTCTTCAACATCAGTGTTTTCTTTTGTACCTAGAGATAATAAAAGAGGTTATAAAATGTAACATCCAAATTTGCTATTTTTCTAAATTTACACCTGACAAATACTTCTGAAAAAAATCACTGGCACAAGTAAATTGCCTTATTTATTAGGAGTTTTACAGAAGTCTCACTGAGCTGAAAACGTCTTTTTCTTTGACAGAGTATTTTCCATTCATCACCATCTTTTTACTTTTCAGCACACCTACAACTGCAAAAATTATGTGATCAATATTTTCTCCAATTTACAGTTTTTTCCCTATAACATGTTGTAGTGATATTTGGCAATCTCTGTCCTCAGAGAATATGCTATTTAACTCCCAGATGTTTTCATCTGCAGATACCAGGAAGGGAATAGGGGGGCACCTAAACTATCTGTGTAGCTAACAGGAAAAGAATTAGGCAGCTCCAATGGGTAATTCACTCCATCCGTGCTGTATAACTCACATAACAGGATGTGTTGTCGTCTCAAGGTGTCTGCTTCTGTACATAGAATACTGATGAAGACTTAGACTAATTTTCAAGTTTTCAGTAGAACAATACAAATCTTGGTTTATTCCAATACATATCTTATCCTTTTAAAAATAAATGTCACTTTTCTAACTTGAATGTATCCGGATTCAAGCCACAAATTTGCAATCTCAGACTAAAGATGTTCTTGTTAACCTTTTGATATCAGCCTAAGGACACTTAAAATTATAGCAAAGCCTTTTCTAATCTGGTCTTTCTGAAATTAAAAACTAAGAACCTGTAAGTACAGGGCCTATATTTAATCCCAATCCTTACAACTCGACTCAGAATTTTGTGGTTGTTATCTTTATTTCTTCCTGGATAGTGGACACTGCACTTGGACACAGTATTCCAGCTGAGATAATACAATTGCTGAATAGGAAATATGCTACAAGTCCTGAGCTGCTACGCAAGATTCCTCTATCTATATGCACAAGAATGATGGATAGTATCAGTACAGTGTCCTTGGAGGACAGATATAGACTGATACTGTGTGTGTTCCACTGATTACTCATTACGATACTTAGGTTCTTTTATGATTTCCTTTACATTTCCAGAAAAAATCCCTAACATTTAGCTCAGATCTGACCTAAATATACATTAATATAAATTCTGGTTTAGTATCTATGCAAAATCTAGGCAGGTATATCTTTCAGATACTTTTTTGTATAATATGGGCTAACTGAGTGGTTACGTGTACTTAAGAGAATTACAAGTTCTATTTCATTAGTTTCAGTTAATTTTACCTAGATATTAATTAGTAAAAAACTCTTTACAGTGAATATTTTAATAAGATGAAGTATGAAACATTTTTGAAAGGCATTTTTAAATGACACACCTGGTTCTCTGCTCTTCAATATTTTCCTAATATAGGTCCCTCGCCAGATGGCTTGAATTTTCAGAGCTGCTGCCTCTTCTTCAGATGTGGGAGTTTGATTCGCACAACTACTAAGGGATTTCTCCTCACTGCTCTCTGAAGGATTGGAAGAATGAGTAACATCAACAAAGCTGGAAGTCCTGTTGCTGCCTGTAACAAATTTTAAAAGAAAAAAAAATAAAAACAAAACAGCAAGAGACAGATTTCAAGCATAAATCTTCTATGATGAAAATATCACTGTTGCATTTTTTGTTTTTTACCATAAGTTGGAGAAAATATACTGCATAATTACACAAAGTCAAAGTATCAGCTACTTTGCTAATTACAAACATCAAATAATTTAATTTTTCTCTCCATGGACAGCTATTGCAGGACATTTTTAAAAATCACATCTCCTACTGTAATTTCAAAATGTTCTTCCAAACATGAACCAAGAGGATTTGATACACTAAAGCCTGACTCTGTGCACAGCTTCACAAGATTTTGATTACTTTTGTCTCTCAATCTGGTAATTATTAACTAATAATTACAACACCAGTGTTGATCAACAAAACATTTTGTTTAACCCTCACAAAGGAGCCACAGAATAAGGGCAAGTTCTATGATGAAGGGAGAGTTCATTTATCTGACTGACGTTATGTTACCAAGTAGTTTCAAAGTGCAACAGAAATTAGTGGGTATTGACAGGTTAGCAAAGAGGTCTTTGAAGGCATTGTTGCCTAGAAATTAGCATCCTGAAAGCCATCAGCACCAGGACTTAGGGAAGGGTTTGGGGAGCAACACTCCCAGGGCCCAGTGCCAGAGGGGTAGTTTGGGACTGCACAGATATGGAAAAAAGGGAGCAAGACAGCTTGATAGGAAGGAAACAATGCTGCAAAACGAAGTACCAATAAACAAAAAGAAGAAGAGGAATCTGTTTGAAAAATGTAGACAGCATTGCAGGCAAACAAGCTATCTTAAGATATTGCTTTCATCAGCCAGATCACACATTTCAATCAGTCACTTTTACTCAATATTGCTAAATCTGGTTGTTTCTCAAACCATCATTTCTCGTCAGTATTGCATTTCCAAATCCTAGAAAGCTTCTTTAATGCTTGGGAACTGGAAGATTACACAACCCCACTTCATTAGAAACCACATTAGAAGTCAACAATATGAATGGCACAACCACTTTTATAAAACAGACACATATACTCAATCACAGAATAACACAGACTTGAGTGGACCACTGAAGGTCATCTGGTCCAATCCCACATCCAAAGCCAGATGAATTTAGAACAGGTTTCTCCTGTTCTTGAATAAATGTCCAGTCCATTTTTTAATACGTCCATAACAATGGAGACTCCCTAATTTAAGTGGGCATTCTTTTCCAATTTTTGACTGACCTCATAGTGAAAAAAGTTTTCCTAATATCCAACTGGAATTTAACACGTTCTAAGATGTGTTCTGTCTGTGCATCTCTGGAAAGGTTTTGGTTCTCCCATTCATTAATCACTGTAACACACTTCAAAATTAATTTGTTCTATCTACAAACTTGTCTAGTTTACAATTAAATAACCCAGTGACAAGATGACTTCTGACCCACTAATCACTGTCTTAATGGAAGGGAAATAGATTTTGATTTTCAACTCGTGCTTTGGCTCAGAAAAATTAGTTCTGCAGCAGAGCCTACATTCCTCATATAAAGCAAAATAATGTATTATAAAGTAAGAGTGTTAAAAATGTGAACACATATACACAGATTGACCTCCTAGATAAGAATATCCTAAAATGGAGCAGAAATCAATAAAACAGAAAAGTAAATACAAAAAGAATTGGTATGGTTTTGCCCTGTGCACCAGCTAAAAACTTCATCCACTGGTGGGCTCTATAACTAGAATTAAATATCCATAACTCTAGAAATAAAACATTTCATTTGTGAGGAGAAAGAATATATGGATATACAGTAAGTTAGTTAAATGTTAAGCTGTTTCTGAAAACAGAAATATAAAAAATTCGTATGGACTATCACACAAAAATCAATTCTAATTTATAGAAACTGTCAGATCAGGCCAAAACCCAAATATTATGAGTATATATTCCTAAAGTAAATATTCCTAAGGAGTTTTTTTTTGATCTAAATTTTTTAAACAATGTCATAAGAACAAAAATATTTTTCTTTGCAACATTTAAGAGAAAATAATGAAGTCATAATTAAATATTCTGATCTTTCAAGGCTTTTTCTACTTAACACTTCTTAATGTTTTTTCTTATAAGCAGAGAAATGTATACTGTGAAATGCTTTGAATCAATCAATCTTGAACTAGTGAATGCTGTAAGTCCATCACTATTGAACTAATGGATGTTTCAAATTTGATATTATAATTGCACAGATTTGTCAAAAATCTCTGACACACCTTAGCTGTTAATCAGAAGACACTGTGCTAGTAATAAAACTGAAGCTTTCAAAGCAGCCTAGCAAGACACTGTTCACCATAAAATCACTGCAGTTCCTGAAGGCAATGCAGGAATGATTTTTTTGAAAAAGGAGTATTTTGCATGTACTCAAGAGGTATTTTACATATTCAACCAAATAATGTCAAACCTTTGCTCCCGCATTACTGGAACTCAAGTTCAAATCCAAAGTGCAAGAAAACAAATATTCAGAATTCTCTTTTCGGTCACACAATGCAACACAACACAACTGTATAATCAATCATCTTAATCTATGTTTCTGGAGGAGAGAGAAGCTTGTTCTGAAAAAGAACTGAGCAGGACTTTCCAAATACAGTTTCACAGTCAAGATAAGCTTATCAAGAACAGCTTGACTTCTAGATAAAATTTCAGACCAGAAGGTTTTAAGAGAACTGTACACAAAAGGCACTCCACTTCCAACTTCAAAGTTGGAATTTATCCATGAGAAAGAAATTTAGCCCCTGAAATGTTCTTAAATGACTGTTAAGTCATTGAGACTCTTGAAAATCAGACCTCCACTGGCTCACTATTGGGCCCAATGAAACCAGGACAAGGTAAACAAAGAACATGTACAACAGAGAGCAGGCTGGCATCCTGATACGCTTCCTTTCCCAGGAAACATCACATACTTCTGTAAATTCAGTATCTCATGATTGCCCAAAGTTGTGCAGGGCCCCTTTATTCACTCTCCGCCCAGAATGCAATAGAAGAGCCATGCCATGGGGAAGCACTCAGCTTCAGATACTTCCATCTTTTTTTCATATGTTCACATGGCACAGTCTTCCACTTGTTTCTTGTGGCTCTTCTACTAACTGCTCCTTGGGGATGGATGATACTTGGCAGTCAAATAAATATGACTAGATCATTTTCAGGATGACTTCTCAGAAACCTTTGTAGGCATGATGACTAACTGCAGTAAATCATAATATCCTTGCCCTTGCTAAATCTTGAGATTAATTCAGCACACAGTGAAAAATTAATATGCCAATATAAAATAGAGGTGCTGTTTCAACAAAAAGCTCACATTTGACCTGATATACTTGCAGACCTAGATGACAAAAATAATTAATTCATCTGTTATGGTAGTTTACACTGATGTCTGTTAGGTTCCAAATGATTATAACCTCAGGTCCTGAGCAACTACCCTGACAATGCAGCAGCGCTAATGTGGGGGCAGGGCATTCAGCTGATGCCAATCCTTCAAGGCCTTTCTAGAATGCAGTTTTCAGCTGGTATTTCCTGCTACCTACCTATTTTTCCCTGACAGTTCACTTTGTTTATGCTTTATTTCTTTAGGTTTCTGGATGGAACCTGAACAAAAGCATTCATTTACTCCAAAGAAACCTTTATTAAGCAGGGCAAAATATCAATAAAGGTCAAAAAATGTCCAGTATCAATAAAACAAAAGGGAAACAACTACCTTTCCAGTCCAATAGGGAACCCTCGTAATTTAATTTTAGAAAAGCAAATAATTTAAAAGGATATACTGGACACTGGAAGAAACAAAACTGAAACAGAACTTTCTTTTTACATATATTTATTCCACTTTTCTGATTCACTGCCCAACTCCTAAAAACTATTCTGTCACAGTGGATCTCATACTTTAGTAATTTATATGAGATCCTTGCTACAACCTGTCAACTGTGCTAATTATTCAAATCTATTTAAAAAATGTCTTCTAATGCTGACAAGTGTTTAAGGGGCTTTTTTTGGAAAGCAGAAATCAGTAGCACAGTCATATTTTAAAAATGTGACAGGTGTTGTTTACTTTAAGTGGTTTGATAAATGTCAATATGCTGACCCTTGCAACATACTCTTGTCATGGGATGCAATTCTCTGAAAAGTACCTGATGTCTCACAGGAAGAATAACCTTCAGATTCACAGGAAAGTTCCCAGTAAAGAGAGACAAGTATACATGCTTTAAGTGTTTTCTTAAAAGGACAAAAGTATTACAACATTCTGTCAGTAAAGATATTTGTTTACATTTGAATTCAGTTTTTTATACTAATTTTCCAGAATAAACTGACTAATCAAAAGAAAGTTAGTTTCATTTTGTTTGATCAAGTAGAAACACTTTATTCTATAAGTTCACAATAGACAAATAAAAAGCTAAGTCCCCATAAAAAGCCTTCAAATAGTGATCATGTCTCATCCCACCAATCAAATAAATTATTTTTCTGTTGTGATATGAAACTATATACATAAGGCTTTTATTGGTAAATTAAATGCTAACATTAATAGGTTAAAAAGTTACAGAGACTGAAAGGTAAATCCTAAAATGGAAAAGAGACATATATCTGGTTGCCAGGCAAACTTAATTCTCACTGTAAAACTCCAGCCTGCATTAAAAAAATGAAGCAAAGAAACAGTGGGAAGAGAATTATCTCTGCTTGTAATAAATATTTTGGCCTTCCAATGGTTCCTCCCAGAGTATATTCAGGTTCACAGCACACCCTGACCACAGGCTGGAGAAGAAGCAGTTGGTGCTGTAGCCAGTTCCACACTACATGGGTATGACCTGCCAGCTAATTAGCTAGGCAACACAGCAACTACCCAAATAATGAGCTTAAAAAACAAGCAAGACAACACAAATTTAAATACCTCTCCCCCCAAAAACAAACAAACACAAAGCTCTCAACCCAACACTAAGAAATAGCTGAACTTTCAATGAAGCTACTAACTTGAGTCTCCATTCTCTCTCATTTTCTGAACAATATAGGCATTTAAGGTCTTTTCAGCTGAAAATTTGAATGAAAGCAATGAGATGCAGTACAACAGGTAAAAAATGCAGATGTGTGTTAATGTTTGGCAATACTGACTTTTTGTAACAAAGAAAAGTGTCATTTCTATTCTGAGATGAGCCTCAGAGGTCCTGTCAACAGTAGAACTCTAAGGCTTAAAAATTAACTGTGCCTACTTAAGCAAGAAGAAACAAGAACAGAAGAGTTGGCTTTCCTGAAAATAAGAATGGGCAGATATATTTGAAGTGATTACCAACATCAGTACATTACCTGAAAACACAGTGTCATCACCAGAAATATCAGTGTCTTTAAAATCCAAAGTAAAGGACCTGAAGGCAAATTTATATCTGTAAAGATCCTTCTTGTCTAATACATATTTGATCAAACACCAAAATGCATTATTGAAAGCCTAAAATCAGAAAGAAGAAAAGCATTCAAAGAATGATTCATTTATAAAGATTGATTTATATTGCTTCTCATTATTGTTGCAAAAACTGCTTCCCTCTTCTCTTACCATGTATAAATGAAGTCTTCAACTTCCGCTAACAAATACTGTATCTGAAAATCAATCCCAATAGCAGGATTATAATGCTTCAAGACAACAACAGAAAGAAAACCTGTTTCATGCCTGGCTTATAAAACAAGAAAATAGGATTCATTCTACAGTGTCTTCATCACCCAGAAACATCCTAGTTTATGTGTAGGGGGTTGATGAGCTCATACCAGAGGACAGAAGAACATATTATAATTGCTATAATGACAATGGGAGTTCTAAACTCAAGGTTTCAGAGTAGACACAGGAAAGGAATGGGAATGCTTTCGGGATTAGGAGGTGCCACAGCATGGGAAGATTTGGCTCTGTTTTTATGCTTGGACACACTGATTCTCTTCAAAGAGCAGAAATCCAGTCTTTTCCTCCCCCATTCCTAGTAGATGGGAATTTCAGGGTGTGCTTTACAGAGCTTGCTTCTTAATCTGAGTTAAAGAACATAGTAACAACTTACTGGAAAATACAAGATTTTCTATTTCATCGCCCTTGGTTTCAGATTTTTCTGCTTTCCGGAAACATGTTTTATGTATTTTCATACTAATAAGCATGTCCTTTATTTTTAAAATTGTAAAACTAGGGAAGAAAGAATATAGTAGATCCTTTCTTGTATTCAGAACAATTTTTCACTGTTTGTATTAAAGACAGGTAATTTCCATTTTTTCATCCTTGAATCACTGGCACTGAGTGCCTCTCATTTATCTAATTTCTGTCTCTTTATTCTTTTTCAGCTATATGTTGGTCTTTTTAGATGGGGAGAAATTAAGGAATATGTGTGTTTATGACTACAGAATTTTTCTTAAGGTCTCAAAGTTTTGCACATATTTCACATGAGCATATGCATTTAAAATTTGTTTATGCCATTCCTGAGTTCAGACAATTTTTCCTTCCTGGTGGACTTTGTATGTAAATTACCTCCTTCATGAGTGATGTACCTGTAATCATTGTTCATTAATTCTGTTATTTTGGTGAATTTGAGCTGGTGTCCAGCCCATGTATAAAAGTGCTAGTGTTGTAATTTTTAATATCAGTGATTATAAAAATATTAAACCCTTTTTTTCTTTTCAGTCTTCTAAACTACACATAAAAAGTCTAAACTGCATGAGCATTCTAGTAATTTGATAAAAATAAATTAATCTGGAATATATAAAATACTGACTAGAAAAATCAAGTTATAGCAATATGATCAAAATTTGCATACACATAAAAAACAGCATATCTTCTACAAAAATGTTTTGTTGCAATCTTTTTATAATACTGGAAAGCTATAGCATAGAGATCTATCAGAAAAGTGTAATGTTTTCATCATGTATCTTTAATTTATTGTACAGAGAGCAAAGAACTTGAATAAGAATACTGTAGTTTTAAGAAACGGAGAAAACCAGCTTGGAATATTGTGAATGAAAGAATTCATTACTGCCTTCAGAAAAAAAAGCTGTAATAATGTTTTCCTGTTCCATCAATTTTAGGCAGAGAAAGCAACCATTAGACTTTTCTACATTTCAGGTAGTATCTTTCAAATTCAAAATGAAATTGCAATATAAACACAGCTCATGCTTTCTGCCCCAAAGTATGCTAAACTAGATTGACAAAAATACATTCAATTTAGAATCTGCTACTCTGTGCACATTGAAATTTGTCTTCTTAAAAGAAGATAATTATCATATAGTTGCAAGTTATGTAATTTGGGCTTACACTTTATAATAAATGCCACATTCACAGCATGCAGGTGGTCCTTGTTAAGTGCACAGGCATTGTTTTGAAGAGGATAATGACAATGTTAAGCAGTTATCCAGCTTCTATAGCTTTTAAATACATGTTCATTCAAACTACTTGCTCACCTTTCTGTTTTCTTCAGCTGTTTTAGTATCATGGAGCCCAGGAGGACAATAAGCTACTTCCAATTCCTTCAAGGCTTTAGGAAGCTCATCCTTACTGCTGTAATTATTTATCACATTTCCAACAGCTCTCAGGATAGCTGTAGCCTGTTCTATAAATCGAGAGCTCTCCTGAGGAAAGAGAATAAAGCAACCATTGTGAGAAAGATTGCTTTAAGATTTTCTTTGGTTTTCTTTCTGGGCCGTGACAGAATACAAGATTTTGTTCTGTGATGAAATATAAAACTTTTGGAATTCATTCAGTTGTTACAGTTTACAAACTGTAAAATCAATTATGTCTCTGATATTCAAAAGCGTATCAACTTCTCACTGATTTTAGCCAGTGAAATAAATAATAGGCACCATAAAATATATCTATTCATTGTTTTATTTTTCCTATACCATTAGTCCTAAGAAATTTAATCAGAAATAAGATCCATATAGAGACTTTCTGCTGCAGTGATAATAGTGACAGCTGAAGTCCTCAGCATCTTCTGTTATGCAAGGCCAAATTAGTATTAGTAGTCTGCTGAAAGCAATGGTGAAAAATATACTTCCTAAAGCATCATTAATCTTCATCAGGATTTCTATGCAAGAATGTGGATGCTTTCCTGTAAATGACAGCCTGCAGAGAAGTTGTTTCAAAAAGAATTATATGAAAAACCCAAGGATAAAATTCTGATTTTCTTGATGAGAAATAGCTTTTCATCCAAAAATTGAAGGTAAGGGGACAGTACAGCCACAAGATACTTTTAATGATGCAACTTCTTATATTTCAACTTCTTTACCAAAATAAATGTGATAAATTTGCACAAGCTGTTTTAGTGTTCTATTCTTAGGACATAGAATCTACACTACGCAAATTTATTGTTACACTCATATTTTAAAAAGTTTTTGCACTAATGTTCTCCAGAAAGTATATTCCCTCCCCTCAGGGACTTCAACAAATATTTGGGCTTACTGCTTGCTAGAGTAACTTTGATAATATGGAAGACAGTGGTGTCTGTCTGGATCACAGACAAGGAATAACAAAAGCTGTAGTAAATTCTCCCCTGGGCTTCTTATCTCAGCCATGATAAGTTGTTTGATTGAATTGCTCATTTTATTAATAAAAGCTGCTCTCGGACCTGGTGAGTAACATGCAATCTCATGGGACCGAACATACTTCACTGATGTGAGGTTTTATTTAAATAGGCAGGTATTTTTTAATATTAGTTAATATTTATACATGTATTTTATGACCTGCCTCAAAGACTGTTATACCCTACCCTGACATATATTTCAACAAGAGCATTTTCCACATTTTATGTTGCACTTCTATGTAAATCACAATACTACCCAATTTTAACTTATTTATGTAAGATAATTTTTGCAATATGCATCCAGTACCTATTGTGCTGTAAAACAATATCTTTTATGCCCTTACCAGTTCAATATTAAAATTAATACTATACCATTGAATAGAATAACTCTAAATGGAAATCCAATACTAGTTTACTTTAATTAGTAGTCAGAAAAACTACTACCATGTTTCCATGTTTGATTAGGCATTATGCACACCTTCTGAAGAGCCGGTATCACAGCATCCTCTTCTCCAAAGACACATGGCACCATGGTACACAGCTGAATGTTGTGCCCTATGGGACAAGTTACTGTGAAGAGCAGGATGTGTCGCCTAAAATCAAGAAAAAACCGAAAGAACTTTTCTTTTTTTTTTTTTTTTTTTTTTTTTTTAATTGCAACAGTTCTTAAGCTTTTCCTTTCACACATTGGTAGTATCATTGTCAGAATTGTATTTAGGTGAAGAAGCTTATCCAGGCCACAGCTTCAATATGTTAACTAGAGATCTAGCAGCAAGAGTAAGAAAGAAGAGTTAATGCTCCCCAGACATACTGGTAGTTTTTAATTACATCTTCTTTCAACTGAAATTTAAATGCTCCTTAGCCACTGACAGTGGGAAGAGAATGCCTTCCATTCTTACCAAGTGATTTCTCTTTTGGAATGAAGTGATCAATAAGCCCATTTGTTTCCCACACCTTTTATAAATTAAATCTGACTGAAAGCCTCTTGTCTCTGACTGGAGTAAAGAAAATCAAAGGTGGGAAGTTTATAAATTTGAGCTGATGGTACCTCTGTCAGCTTTGAGATTTACTGATGCAAAAAGATACACATTTTTGGCCCCCCTACAGTACAGAGAGATACAGATTTTAGAAACTACACTGAGGAAATACGTGGGAATCCAGAACTAGATGTGAATGTACTCTATAAACATAATAATAACTATTCCAGTTTTATTCTGAATCTAAACAAATAAAGAGCAATATTAAAGATCTTTGATTTAATTTCAGCATGCTAGAGCTGGGGTATTTTCTTTCTATGTCTATTTATTTATCATCTTACTCAATTTTGTAAAAGTACATTTTGCTTCACCTCTTTGAATTTTAACAGATTATTTTCTCTTTCTGGGAAAGTAGAAGGCCTCAGTTAATAAGACAGGAATATTATGCTTATGACAGGACATGAAGATACTGTTTTCCTGTTTTCCCTAGAAAGGTTTTCAGAAAATAACATATCAAAGCCTCTTACTTTTTCATCTATTTCTTTTTTTAAATCACCCAATGCCTCACACTAAATATTTAGAGTTACATACAAAGAGAAAAAAATCATATTAAATAATACATGAATGGGAAGATATGCAAGACTTCATGGATAATGTTAGAATTTCTTCTGTCAAGTTTCTTAAATCCTTTTTCAAGAAAAGCATTGAAACCACCTATGGTATCATCATGCTTTTACAGTTCCAGTAAAAATGCTATTTTTCTTGCTATTCCAGGGAACATTTCAAATCATTCTAGTTAGAAACACTTTTAAGTAGAAATTTTTAGGGATTTATATTTATTTTTTAGCAAGTCAGTGTGATTTTTATTGTTAAATGCCCCTAAGTAAGGGTAAAGAACTCAGAATTTTTATAAAAGTATTGGTAAATTCACAGTAATTTGGCAGTCTTACCAAATCCTAGCTATCCAGAAGTCTGATACTCCCCAAACTTATGTTTTAGGAAATAAACTCCTACTGGGTTACTGTGTAAACAATCATTTCAAGCCTTAACTAAAGAAATGAAGCCTCAGACATACCCAACAGGAAGATTTACCACAGTAGCTTTGGTTGCAGATGTACGCATCTTTAACACAAGTTCTCCAGGAGTCACAGATTTCCAAGAGAAATATTCAACCCTCAGCACACCTGTTGGACATTCTTCTTTAGTACCTAGGTTAAGAAAACAAAACAAAGCACAACCCTCATAATATGGGGCGGGTGAATAACACTCAGACACATCTATGCAGAATTTGTAGCTACTTCACAGTCATGAAAATATTCATTTAGGTTTTCCTAACACAGAAAAAATCAGATCAGTCACTTAAAATGCATTGTTGATACAAAGCTTATTTGTACTTATTTGTACTATTTGCTAGAAAACAATGGCTATAAAATGTGTTACCGAGATGTATACATCTGATGCCTTGAGAGGCTACCTAGAACAGAGGCTAGACAGTATTAAAGAAATAAAGTAGATATTTATTAAAACTTAAGGTATCACATCAGACATCTTCAGTCACTTAAGGCTGTTGTAAAACTCCAAACCAATCCTTTCTGACCACATGCAAATTAAGTAAATAGCCATTAAAATAGTATTTATTTATATTTATAGCTTATAGTTTAATTATTTTAACAGAATGGTCAGTTTGGGGTTTTTTTTAAGCATTCTTTTGGTTCTCTCTATTCTACTCCAGATGCATTAAATCACATCCATGTCAAATGTTTAAATATCTGATTAACCTAAGCCAACTACCATAAAATGCCATAACTCTCCTGAATGCCATTCTATGTTTTTAATGAAATACAAAGAATTAATATTTAAATCATTGAAGTTGTTATGTCTTGAAAAGACAACTTAAAGGTGCTTGAGAGCTTATTGTGTACCAGTTTAAAAATAATTTCAGAAATTTACTTCTGTTATATTGCTGTTTTTGCTGCATTATGGTCAGCTAAGGCATAAAGTAGCTTGCAAGACTGGAATTTGTAGAAAAGAAACACAAGAAACACAAGGAAATCCATTCCAGAAATATACAGATGAAAAACTTCCAGCAAATCACAATAAACAGAAAAGGGAAGGATTCTTTCATGAAAATGTTCATCATCAATATGAAATAATGGTGAAGTATTGCTTGAATATCAGCATATTTCTTAAAACCAATTTGACTATATCCAACTATTGCTAAACTCTCAAACTGCACCCAAGTACACAACAGATAGACGCAACAGCACAAACATATTCAAGAATGGGAAAATACAACACTGATATGTACTTTTGTGTGTTGGCCTTACCTTCGGTAACATTCCAGCGTACTAATGCAGAAAAGCTAACCAAGATTTCAATGGGCATCAGACTGTCCACAAGTAAATAACAGAAGACTTCCTCATCAGAAGACTGTATCAAAAAATGGATGTTTGTTCATTAATTTGCATTAAATGCTGTCCCAACTGGCTTCATACAAAGTAGGACTACAATTTTGGATATGGTGACCTGAGCTATGGTATGGGAAGTAAGCAATTAATTGTCACTACTTCTTCCAAATTTCGAACATGTCATTCAAACCCAAAGCCTCACACTATAATAGTGTTCAGTTATGAGATAAAAGGAAACATAGCCTTTTTTGCATTAGACTATATCTACTTTTATACTGATCACATGTACCTAAATGCAGTACTTTTACTTGTTAAACAACAATTAACAGAAGACAAATAATTTTGGGTTTTGCAGCAACGTTCTGATTCTAATTAATTACAGAAAGCTTGAAAGACATAAGTACTCTGAATTTGTAGATATGAGTGATCCTCCCTTATAAAGGCATTTTTCTCCTACAAATCTCTATGAGGACAAGATTTTTCTCTCTTAATACATTATTCCTATGCCAATATTAGAAATTACAGAATGATTCTATTTTTCCTAGTAATTCTTCAAAATCTAAGGGTGAATGAGCTTCTTTCTTCAGAACTATTAGAGTACAGGTCTTCCTGGATATTCCAGAGTTACATAAATCCATTTTTTGGGTATATTTATCTTCCTATTGTAACATGAAAATGTTCTTTAATAAGCATGATACAGAATTTACCTAATACTGTAAACATATCATCTCTTTCAATGTTAGAAATTAAAACAGTTTTACAGCAAAGGGTTAGGGGTTTTTTTTGGCACAAGAGCACACAGGCTTACACAATCTTAATGCTGATTATGGCTTACAAAAGTATATCGTGCAGTCATTAGGAACATTTCTTGTGATGTGATTACTGAGAGGTGGGAAATTGCAGGTGTACTGCAATTATGGAGCATTAATCCATGTAGTTAACCTTCTCAGTACAGGATTTTACATGAACTTCATGCCTGGAGTTTACACTTTGGTACTCTACAATTACACTTCAGATACACTATAAAATAAGAGCTGGGACAGGATATTCAAGCATGTTGAATAACCTCTGATAATATGAACTAATGGCAGGTTTAGAGAAATTCCATTATTCCAGTGTAACTAAAGAGTATTTCTAAATCCCCGCAACAGGATGCTGTACATAGCAAAAGGACTTAGCATTTACAGAGAAAATGGAGTGTTATGCTAAACAGACTCACAATTTGGGTTTTAGGTAACAGGGGAAGATGAAGGAGAATTGAACAGCAGATTCTGCAGCTAAATCATCATGAAATTCAATTTAGATATCAAGTTGTTAAAAGGTCATTCTAAATCAAAATAAAGAGTGGTTGGAGATCTGATTCTCTATCATTTTTCTTTACATAAGCCATTTTTTTGTTATTGTGCAGTAGCATTCCACAGCATTTTTCCTTTTCTTAAACACACATATATATAATGCTGAATATTTGCTTGCAAACAAAAATTTGTATTGACTATAGAAATCTTTCTGCGTTATTATTATTTTTCAGTAATAGCAGTTCTATATGCTCTATCAATATCATTTAGGATATATGTATTATCTAATTACGTAACAGTTTGAGGAAAAAAAGCACAATACAATCATTTACCGTAAAACTTGTCTTCTGATAATTATAGGCATATGTATGTGGCTTGTGGAAAACATACAGGTTCCTAAGAAGAATAAAGAATTTAAATGTAAGATATATATGACTGTAAGAAAACTATCAGTAGAAATTACATAGCTTAGATAAATGCCTATTTCATAGCAGAAGTCATTAATTTTACTTTCACAAGTCAATCACAGCTATTTCTCAAAAACAGTTCAACACTTAGTCATAAAACAGATGAATAAAATTAATCTCCAGAGAAAGCAGCTGAAATTAATTCATGTATTTACTGCATTTCTACACTCTTCCATTGGAGGTCAGGCCACTAATTTGATTATTTTCAATCTGTAAAGGGTAACATGCTAATACTACTCTAAAACAACCATGCCCACATAAAAATCACTGTGATTAAGTTTCATACAAAGTATAACTGAAAGATGGATTGTTTTATATACTTTATGATTTTTTTAAGTTCTCTGCTGTTTGTAGACCTTCAGAAAGCTACATCATTTCTGACAAAATTTTTTTCCGATTTTGATTTCACCAAGAGAGACATAAATGGCTTCGGCTTTAATTGAGCGTGGAATCAGATCTGAACCAATGTTGTGATTACTCAGAAACTCCACTGGAATCCTGATCTGCTGCTGACATAGCAATTCCTACAATGACTAAAATACTCCTCACTTCTCAAAGCTGATATGAACTATGAACATGCTTCTTATTTTCAATGTATCTGAGAGGCAGGCATGACAGAGAAGGAAAAGCTTTCAGTTGAACAGACAGATAAAATGAAAATCTTAGGTGCCTAATTTCTTCTGAGGGATAAATTCTTCAATGGTCATGAAGATGCTCTGTTAACAGCTACTTTACCAGTTGACTGTGAAAACAAACTCTCACTCATTTAGAGATAAGAAACTGACAAAAGCTTTTTGCCTTAATATTAATATTGGTCTACAAAAGGTCAACAGTAATTTAACCATTGGCTAATAAGGTGGAAAGTTGATATTTCACACTCTCTGTATGTGCACAAGACTTTTAAAGAAAATTAAATTGCTTGTGATGCTTTTTGTTTCTGAATGTTCTATCATCCTGAACCTAGGAGAACCAAAATCTTGAAGTTTTTATTCCTAAAGTTCCTGTACTGCTGGCTGGTATGAAAGTTATACATTCTCCTTTAGAGAGTGAGTAGAGTTTAAACACTTCTTCATGAAAATAGAAGCTTTGCAAAGAAATCTCAGTTACACATTCAAACAAGGAAAGAGCTGGGTGAATTTTCCCTGCTGAAATTACTTCCCTCAGCAATCTTAGATTCTCTAAAGGATATGTATTGTACCAGGCTCCTTAAATCTGAAAGACGGAAGCTGAAGACATGATGCTACAAGTACACTAGATTTTTTTATGTTTTCAGAGGCATAAATGCCTTGGAATTATATTGAAAAGGGAGTGAGACAAAACATCTAGTTGATCAAGCAAAGCTATGCTGATAGCAACAGATTTCAACAATTTTTTTTTTTTGTTTAGAATTGTGTTGTCTTGATGCAGACTGTGCCTGCCCAGTGCCTCATGGGTTAATGCTTACAACCCTCCATGACCTACAATCTTCCACCCCAGCTGCAGTCTGACAGCTGCTTTATGGAGCTGGTGGTTGTGTTCTCCACTGTATTCTGGAGGACACACCCAAGGCACAGAGCAGGGCTGCAGCCACAGACCCACTGTCAACAGGGACAGTATATCTGATCTCAAGAGTAGCCTCGAAGCCACCCTGAAAGGCAGGATAGACAAAGCAGATCTGTTAAGAAGATACAATTTTTTTAAAGGCGAGTTTTGAATTTTACCATTGTTATACAGTATATTGTATGGAATAAAACCCAAACCCTCTATTCCTTACTGGAAACAAATGCAGAAGTCTTCAAAGGTAATCCAGGTTTCCCTGGAAACTGAAATATTTTCTAATGCTGTTCCATCCTTTGATTTAGTCCCTGTCTTGCTCTTCATACCCTTATCAGCTCTTTCTGACATTTGTTTTGTATCTAAACTGATATTGTCAGGTTTTTCTGCAAAGACAAAAAGACATACAGAGCCAACACAGTGACAATATGCAATTTAATGTAGTATAATTCTTAAAAATTATCCTAAAATTACAAGAAAATTATCCATACATCAGTTATTATGCATACAGTTTAAAACTAAAAGCTTTCACACTAACCTAAAGAGCTCAAATAGTGACAGAAGCAACTCTATATGGAAATTTAGGGTTTCCATCTGCAGCTGCTTAAGTAGTCTGCCTCAATAAGCTGCCACATATTGAACTGTACGAATCTTCAATATCAGCTTGTTAGGTGTACATACATGTGATTTCTGCAAACCTAAATTCACCTATATAAAGAAAAATCCATCCCCTTGTCCAAAGCTCCCATTCAGTGAAAGGTGAATAAGGCAGTATCAGAAAAACATACAGAGAAATTTGGAGGACACAAAGGCCTAGCCTTGCCTCTGGCACTTAGTACCCCTATGATGCTACTCACACAAATCAATCTTCTAAACAGAAACAGATTTGAACTAAATTACATTAATTTTCTTGAAGGAAAATCAGAATTAAGGTCAGATTTGTACCAAAATATAAACATGGACATATGTAGACAGGTTTTGCAATCGCTCAATGACTTTTTGTGTTGTAATATAACTTTTTCTGCATTTATTCTGAGATTCATATAAATAGTTACTGAAAATGTTTGACCTGGCCCAAAAAGAAGAAAATAGCTCAACAACTGAAAATAGAAGAACTGAATAGCTATTAATTCAGAATGCTTGTCGAGGAAAAAAGATGAGGTTATATTCAAACATAAGGCATAACAACTGAGAAAGCTATTAGAAACATACATAATTTATATTTAAATGTGCTTTGTAATATTTAATTATCACCAATACAAACAGAGCTAATATGTGGCTCTAAATTAGTTTGCATCTATTTTTCAAGAACTGAAAGAAATGCAATATAAGGAAAGGCACCAAAGGCCTTTTTCCTTTCCTTCAACTATAGAAAAACTACCTCAAAGCTACAAAATCTATACTTTCTCTTCAATTTAAGTTAGCGTAGGTGTTAGGTTTCCAGTTAAACAACCATAGTGCTCTTATTTTTAAGAGCCTCTTATTTTTCTGACCAAATCCTTCAAATATTCAAAGTAATATAAAAAAACAAGGTATTAGTTTCAAAAAAAATTTCGAATAGTGATGTAAAACACATTTCAAAGGAATATGCACTAAAATGAAAGCTGTTTTTCCTGAGAGTAACTTAAGAGAAGTGTTTGAATTTTTTTGAACACCAAACTGAAGATTTTACTCTCCGTAGTTATACATGCTATAACAGTTCTTTGAAATGTTTTTCTGTAAAACTAACACCCACAAATAAGTAATACTGCTGATATATGTACATGAGGATTAACACGGACGCCACACAACATGGGAATGGCAAAACTCTCACTGTTAACTTTACACACACTTACCTTTACTGGGTACCTCTGCATTTTGTTGCAACAAGGAAATGGTCTCCTACACAGTGAAAAAATAAAACAAGAAAAAGCAATGATGGTGATTATAATCTTGCATTATTTTGTTAGAGAAAATAACTGATTTTGGGACAGTCCTTCCATAGACAGAGAAACAAGCTGTTAAGTTAGCATCATCAGCTTGGGCTGGGTTTTTAAATAAAAAATAAAAGTAGCAAATTTCATCATAATACCTACATACATATCAGCAACAAGCAGACTGATGTTTCTCTAGAGAAGTACATGTCATCTGCAATGTGAGATAAAAGCTGTTTCATACACCTACCACTTTCACTATTAAAACAGTGTTCTTTAATATTACTGGGTTTTGACAATAAAGTAAGTTTTATTCTAAGAACTGATGTTCATATTCTACAATCAATTCCATTTTTTTTTCTTTTTCCATTCTTGAAAAATTTATAGAAGACTCCTTTTCCAACAAGCATTTCTTGCTGTACAAGTGACAGTCCACAACCGTCATTAGCAACAGCATCCTTGATTATAATAGCATCTTCTATCACTGTATAAATAAAAAGTAACCTCTTTTTTTAATGGTTCTGGCAAACAGCTTTATCCTGGTCAACCCCAGTTCTAAGCTAGAATTGCTGAATATTAATGCAATATAGCTGCTGATGCTTGAAGTTCAAATGAAGTTGGCCTGCTTTTCAGAAAGTCCACTCATTAAATTTACAAAGACGGGGTCCTTGTTTTTGAGAGATTAAAATCTTTGATTTAAAAATGTATGCCAAGTCATCCTTCCTTCTGGACTGCCCTCTTGTCTGCAATATCACATACACTGAAAGAGTCACTTGAATCTCTATTTTTTTATATTTTGTGAGGTTGGGCAGGAGGAAGAGATTGCACAGTTTCCAGTTTACTTCCTATTTGAATGTGGTACAATTAATGGCTTAGCTAGACTAGCTTTGCCTTTGCAAAAACAAATATTAAAGCCTAAAACAGCTATTACAAACAAATTTGCAAACTTCCTTTCATCCCAGGTCTCCCTTTACCTAGATTTGTCACCCTTCTCCCTCCTCAAACTCCTCATGCATACCCTTATATATTTTTGTGTGTTAAAGGTGCTGATGCTGAGGCTGGTGGCATTGACCTGGCCAGCAGCTGGACACACAGAGTGATTTTCTGTTCTGCATTTCAAAGAGGAGCTATGGGAGCTTGCTGACTTGGAGCTTTTATGCTTTTTCAATACAACCAAGAAATACATTTTAAGGGGCACACTGACATAATTTAGACATAATTTGTGACCTGGATGGCAGGTCACAACAGTACCTAAATCTTGCACAAAGTGATTGTGCCGGAAATCCAGGTCTGCCTCAACCCTCTTATTAGAGACAACCCTGCATACACTATGTGAATGGATCTGTGAATGCTTCCTTAGAGGAAAAACTTATGGCTTCCTATGTAAAAGTCTTCCTGCAGCATTTTACAGAATTTCTATGGGCTCAGGACATGGGAACAGGCTCGGGATGAGATTCTCATCTCTGGCAAAATTTTAGGTGTTTGATATTCTCTGAATTAACAAAGGAAAGACCTGAGCAAACAAAATACAGGTTTAAGAGTCTCTATCCCAAAACTAAAAGTGGCAAAAAATTTAATACACATAATTTAACTATAATATTGTTTATTATGGGAATTTGAAAGTACTACTTTTGCACAGCACAAATCTGAAATTCTATTCCAAATCTGTTATGGGCTTCTGTTTTTTTTTTAACATTCTTGAGTCAAAGCTGGGGATGGATCTACAATTAAGAGCAATTAAGAGAAAAATTAAGACACTACTGAAATTGTTAACACTTGGATTAAGAATTTAGTAACTGAAATATATTGCATTATACAGTTATTTATAATCTTAATTTCTTGGTTTTCTATGAGCCTGAAAAGGACACCATAGAATCTTGCAAATACCCATGTACTTCAGCCCCTGTTTGCAGAATTCTGTACACACAACTGTTCAGAATAAGTCAAGCCATGATCACTTATCACATTGAGAGTCATGTCTCAGCATATGAGTCTGAAAAATCACATGGACTATCCCTTCCCTTTAAACTGTGACTTTGGAAGTACATGCACAGAGCTGTCATGTTTTTCTCCATGTGAGCCTACAACTTTCAAGATTCCAATGTTGCCAAATTTCTTGTGGGAGTCACGGGACTTACCAAACAGATATACGTCAGTTGTACAATTAATCAAGTTTATTCTCAGAAATCCTGGGAATATCCAAAGTATAAAAAGTATGAGATCTACTGTATAAGCCCTGGAGACTATAACATCTGTACAACAAATCTAGCACTTTCTGCCCAATATACTGCTCATGGACAGTACACATGATCCACCCTTCTAGTATGGACATGAGTTAGCTTGATACAGAGCTACTTTGTTAGTACTAACAGTTGGCAGCAGGAAAGCCTGGAGAAATACAGAAAATCCTCAAAAAACTGCATCAACAGAATTTCCAGTCAAGAAGAAGAATGTGCCCTGGAAGATCTGTATGCTTAGTAACTTTATGCAGTCAGAGCTATGAAACTAGTCTAACCACAGCTGTGTAGAGACTCCCATAGGCTCATTTACTCAGTTTTTGGAGCACAAACATAACACAGTCAATAGCTGTCTGCTTTTTCAATGGTACAGGATGTGTTCATCTACCTAATCTTCACTGACTTGAAGACAACTGGAGTGTCAAGTTCTCATTTCTTTATACTATTGCCTCAAGTACTGTGCCTAAGACACTGGCACAGAAAGAGAAAATAAACATATTTTTCCTTCTTAATGAGCACACATTGCCTGAAAAGTCAGCTCTGCTGCCACAGTATCTTATAAAGAAATAAATTAGACAGTACTTAGGTCCAGCTATGAACATAGAATGATGGACACAGATTCTGGGAGAAATACTTCCTTCAATGAATGGCAAATCTGAATGAAAATTCCATAGATAACTTATAAGTCTAATTTATCATATCTTATTTTTCATAATCTCACTAATGCATACTTGTAAAAATAATGGTAATTCATAAATTTGTAGCTATCTTGTTACATTCAAGAATTCATTTATATTCTTCACCTTCCCAACATTAGCTATAGTTTTATTTTATTGAAATCTGCCAAATAATAGGTTTTAAAATTTATCTGATATTTTAATAAAAACAGTAGCTTTTCTATTGAACAAGTGATGCATGGCAAAACTTAACACACCAGTTTTTCTGTGAAAAATGGCAGTCTTCTTCAAAAAAATAATCTCTCTGAATATAATTGTGGGTGAAGGAATAAATTTTCAGGTACTCTATTTTTAAGATAAAAAATCCATTTCAATTTATTCAAAACAACAAAGATGACTAAAATAATTCCTATGATCTAAACCAGTATTAAATTTCACTGTTTGATGTTGACCTGAGAGTTATGTCAAAGGTTTTGCATCTACAGTCATTTGGACAGTCTTTTTTTTGTTCCTCAGTCACTGTGTTCACTAAATGGAATATCAGTTCTCATTTTAGATGTGATGTGACAGTAGGTAACAGGTGGGTTATGAAAAAAGGAAATGTTACAAAAGAATGAACATCTGCAAAGCTGTGCACAAATCGAGATATAGAAATAGCTTAAAAATACTGGATTACCAATTTGGCACCTCTTTTAGTCAGTCTCTAATGTTGAAGCTGCCTAGTATGTAGGTGCAAGTAGTTAGTTGTGGGCCCATCAAAGCCACAAATGTCTTAATGCCTCTTCTCAAGCCCCTCTTCTTATTCATGTCCCCATGACATGTGTAATTTTTCCCTGAAAATAATAAGCAGGGTATTTCCATTTTATGCAGGGTAAGGTAATTTTCAAAATGATAAAATCTGTAAGGAAAATATATTTGTTTTATTTTGTACCTAGCATACCTGGTGACTCAATACCAATTCATAGCACTTATGAAATACAACACAAGAAGGACTGGAGTGAAATGAAGAAAAAGCCTGTTACGATACAATAGTCAGTAATCTTTCTGGGGAGCATGAAAAGAGCACACAACAAAGCAAGCAAATTAAACAAACGGGTATCAGTTGCACATGAGAAGATAAGACTGAGATTGAATATATAGCAGACAGACTGAAGTAAAAAACATGAAGGAAACATGAACATTAAAGAACAAATTTTTTGTATTTGTGTCACTGGGAGAGGTTGGAGACTCTAGCACTTTTGCACTAGAAATTAGCATTGCCAGCAAGCTTGACACAGAAGAAGCCACAAAGAGAAAGTTGAGAGTTCTGCTTAAGATGTATGAACTTAGCAATCAGGTCAGCATATTAAAATATCTAGCAGCCATTACACATACTCTGTAAACACACTGTGCTTGTCTTGCTTTGCATTTCCTCAAACAGAACACATACACCTTTATTCTCAATGGAATTGTAGATAATTTCTATCCACAAATTCATCCCGATGGAGAATATTCAAGTAGGCTTTTGAATGGCAGATCTGCAAGGAAACATCTATGTACTCCAGGATCATCTTTTTCTCGGAAGTGTTTGACAAAATTACTGTTGCAGAAATCTGTAAGACTGTGCAACTTATATATGATGACAGTTTTGGTTTTTTCCTGGACACAAAGTACTTTCACATGTATTTCAATATTTCCTAAAGTTCCTAAATTACTTTCTATTGAACAAGAATTAAAAGACAACCTCTCCATATAAGAATTTGACCCTATGTTATTGAGTTTTTAAGCAAAAAATTATCAAAATGCATATTCTTAAGAAAAGTGATTCAAGATCAATTTAACTGCCAAAATTATATATTTTTAATTATTTTTCCCTAATGCAAATGCTTCTAGGACCATAAAATCAGTGAATGGGAAAGTCAGAACAAAAAAAAAATAATCTTTTTTTAAATTCAATAATGAAGCATTTCTACTTTTTAGCATACTTTGAGGACATTACAGATACTGGCATGTCTTTCAGCTTCATATTTCTCAAAGAAGGTACATCCAGCTCCTAGAATCTTGTCTTTCATATATCACTAGTCTCTGTTTCTGTGACAACAGACCTTAGGAACAGCGAATCAGATATTCAGTAATGCTACTTCATGCAGTTTACATTAGAGCAAATTAAAATATGCCAGTTAAAACTTCAAGCATCTGGCACAGCAGTTAACTGAATTTCAGTCAGCTTAAAGCATACAACTGCTGTATCCCAAGGATCTACCAAATCTGTATCAAAGGTTTTAAAACCAATGTCTCCTGACTAGTAATCATACAGTTTAAAATGGAGAAAAAGTTATTCACATTTAGTATATTGCAATAAAAAATTCTAAAAATTAGCAATAATATAGTGAATTTGGGATATCAAAGTTTCTCTTTCAGTGTTTACTTTTTTAATCACCAATTTACTTGTTTTTAAAAAGCATATATTACTATATCAAGTACAGAAAGCAAGCTCTTCCTTTATGAATTTGCCAGAGGAATCCAAATAATTTTGTTGATGAAAAGATTTAATGTGAAAAAAAAGATTGTCCTCCAAGTAAAAACCATTTTCTTTTCCAATCTGTAAAAATGAAGTTCTACTTGCATACTTTAGCTATTAACAGGCACAGCATTTTTCAACTGAGGTTTAAATTAAGGGAAAAAGTAAAGTACATGTACAAGTCAATTAGCTGTTCATAACTTCTTACATTTCATGTCTGAATCAGGTTGCCCTCTGCCTACATCTCATTCACGTCTTCTTGCAACCATTCCTGCTTTATCAGTGTCCCTCTCATGTATTTTCATACTCGCCCTTGTCTCTCCTTGACTGTATGTCCTACTGTGATCAACCTTCTAAATCACTCTTGGACTAGGGGAGAAAAATCTAAGGGATGTTTCACACTCCTTTAATGCTTCCAGTACATAAGCTTCTATTAATTTGCAACTAGTCAAATCTGTATTTGTACACCTAGAAGCTGAAGTAATGAAAACAATAATTATTACATGCTATAAGATGCTACTTTGAGGGTGATTTTATGATGCTTGTATTTCTAAATGTCTGTTCTGTTTATGTTGGATGTTAAGTTTTGCACTTTTAAGATTGGTTCCAGAGTGAAACTGGGGAGAGAAGAAGCGTATAGTTCGCAGAAACTGCACTTGATGGTTCGCATTCTCTTTTGGTGCATTCTTTCTTTTGGTCTTTTGCAGCACGGACATTGAGAGAAAGCTTTCTTTTGCTTTTAGTCAGTTTTTTTTTGCTACCTGAAGCAGAGACTTTTTTGGACAGTAGGTTGTTGGGATTTTTTGGAACTGTTCAAATTTGCTCTGGACTGAAAATTTAGAAAAAATATTGGAAGCTCACACTGTGGCCCACTGGGGCCTGGAACGCAGTATTTTCCAGAGCAGGAGAGACTGATAAGAGACTGACCAAGCTGATCTACAGCCCACAAAAAGGACTTTCTGAATTTGCCATCTCTTCAGAACAGCAAGAGGTTGCATTGTTCATTATTATTTAATTTTTTATGTTTTTGAATACTTTGCTTGTTAAATAAACAGTTTTTTCCACTTTTCTCCAAGAACATCCTTCCCAAACTAGGGGGGAGGAGGGGCCACTTTAATTTGCTTTCTAGAGGGACCTCATTTCAGAAGTTTTCTTCCAAATTTGTCCCAAATCAAGACATACTTACAGCTCCTTTTTACCCTGCTGCTTTTTGTAATGATTTTATTATGCCATTATTAAAAATATTTTAAAGGTGAAGTACTAAATTATTGTTTACAAAATTCACACAATATACTGAAGAGCTAAATATATCACAGAATCACAGGTCATAGATATATTCTATTGTAAAGTATTCTTCACTGCAGAATTACCTTATTTTAAAATCATTAAAACCACTAATGATATCCACACATGTACCTTATCTAAACACACAGTATTCATATAGCTCTGAAATATAAAAATGGTATGAGTGTACTGTGCAGAGGAAAAGTAGACAATCCAAAAATTACACAGACAATTATTTTCTATTAATTTAAAAATTTAAAGCCAAAACAGAAATGCTATCAAATGGTCTTCTGAGTAGTGTTTGCTGCAGTAAGAATGAAATTGAAGAGATGCTGGCACTGCCACATTGAGTTTTTTTGTAGGTGTCGAGCAAATTAAAGAACTTCAGTAGAGCTCTGTTTGTTTCTTTTTAAGTGGGTATTTATCTCTCTATTTTGCCAATTATTTCCCTATATGAAATATTTTCTTCATTAAATATATTGTTCAGAAGGTCTTTGAAAGTATCATTTTTTTTTCTCTGTTAAACATGTAAGATTAAATATTAGAAGGAGCATTTTTTAAAAAAATTATCTAAAAGCAGACATTGGCATCATATACGCACTCCAATTTAAAAACAGAATTGAGGGGGGAAAAAAGTATTACAAAAATCAGTAATTACAACTTCCCAAAGTCATCCTGGTAATGTTTAATTAAACTTAGGTACAATAAATTACAGTGGAGGCTTCTACCTAGTAACTAGCATTGGCTTAGATTATTTGAGCCAACTTGTAGTCAGTGCTGTATCTAGTGAACTTGTTTGGAGTAATGTCATTCCCTCACAGAGTTGCACAGGAAGCCTGAGGGTCTAAATCGTAGCTGAGGATTCCTTTAGAATGCAGAGTTTCTGAAATTTAAGAGCAGGCCAACTGAGCAGAGAAGTTCTACCACTTTTTCCAGATCTAGCCAGAAGTCCTTCCATTCAGTCCTAAATGAGGATGACTTTTTAAGGCATGTGTAAATAAAGTTTACATTTTTCTAGTCACGTGCCTAGGTACATCTTGCACGACAGTCAAAAAAAACTATTCATAATATAAACTAAGATTTATTTAAAACACTGCAGACTATCTTCTTAAGATACTCCCATCAAAAGGATTTTAAAGAGCAAAACCAAGATAGTGTTAGCAATAGAACTTTTATAATGTGAGTGAAAATCATAAAAAATAAAGTTAAAGATAAGGTATTAAGAAAGATTTCCCACCCAATGCACATCAATGTAACTATAAAATTGAAAGGGTAGGGAAGCTACTTAAATAGCAAGGGAAAAAGCTTTCTAAAATGTTTTTGAAAACATATTTAAGTCTTAAATAGTTTCTATTTTGTCTTTCAAGCTCTGTAATATAAAACTAGGTCAAGTTAAAAAAATAGAAATATTATTACCTGAGAAAAATCTTCTGCATTTGAGTGTCTCCCATTTTGATTCATATCCCCATTACTGTCACTTTCATTTTCATCAGTTTCAGTAACAGTAGTAAGACAGGATATAGACTTAAATCCTTTTTTGAGGATAGACTGTGGAAAGCGGCTAAATAATAAAAGAGAATGCAAATATTTCAATCCATATATTTTCTTTCAAATGACAGTCTTCATAACTATTCTTTACAGAATAGTTAATTTGTGTGTCCTTTATTTTGAAAGATTCCTAAGGAAGCACAGAATCCATATCTTCACATATTTCTTGTCATTACTGGCTTGCCACTACACACACTTTTGATAGAATGCCCTCTTAACTAACCCTCAAAAAAGCAAAACCCAAGCCAGCTGAAAACTAGACAACGTCAGAAGTGAATAAATTACTATGGCCCCTAGACAAGAAAAAAATACTACTTGAACAGAGGTAAGGCAAAAAATTAAAGTGTTTTGTATCAGAATACTTTTTGTCTTTTCCCTCAAAATGGGTCTCCATAGCTACCTAAAACACAGGATAACCAAGGAAACCTGTGCAGGCCTATTCTGGTACTAGCAAAAGAAAGCTTTGTTGCTGACTTCACTGGAGGCAGGAGTAAAAACTGAAGGAAATATAAGTAACTCTTTGCTTGTTAAATGAAGAACAAGACCAAAACAATTTTGCATACATGCTAATTAGACTTAAGTATGTAATTGCGCTATTACAGCAATAAAGAACAAATTAAAATCTAAACATGTGTTATCTAGCCCCCTTTCTAAAGGCTGAGATAATGAAAGATCAAGATCTTTGCAGTAACAGGCAAAATTATCTTGCATTTTAGCATTTCAAAATAATTTATTAGAAGAAAAGGAAGATATTAAAAACTTTCAGTCCCAACTGTGTATCTAAGTCCCTTATCTCATTTACACAGCTATATGATTTGAATGAAATGTTAATACCTGCTATATATTTTTTGCTACTACCTAATAATTAAATCACAAAGATTAAAGTAGCTAATTGTCATGGAAACTTAGCATATTGACTAAACTATCCTTCCCCAAATGGGTTGACTATGAAGCAATCTATCAAATATGAAAAACCAATATAAAATCTGTTAAAGTGCAAATACTTCAACATCTTCATTATTAAATCTCTCATTACTTTGATAGCCTGTTAATTGCTTAGAACATTATAATGTATTTCTACTCCTACTGTTTGAAAACAAGCAGCAATTTAAGTACTTTTAACTAACAAAATGCAGCTGTATCAGCAAAACAATTACATTCCCAGAATATTTCAAGCTCATGTCATCTATGGACAAATGCTGCTGCTCAAAAAAATTAAAAATACTTAATGGGTTATTAGCTATTTATTAGTCCATCCAATTATGATGATCAAAATGTAGAACCTGCCACATATGTAATTTACTCAGTTTATTTAGAGATCTACTCAACAAAAGGTGTACACACCCCAAGAAAATACACAGATCTCCAACAATTCGCAACCTATTTTTGGATTAAAGTCTCAGGAAAATCATATCCTCCAAAATGACATAAACCTTTTGGTGTACACTGGGTAATAAAATACATTCAATTCTTTGTGACAGAAGCCCAATCAGAATAAAATACAGGATTAATAATTCTAGAACTTGTCTGACTGTTCACATCATAAGCTGAAACCTGACAGAAGTGTCCTGTGGAAAAAAACCCACAGCTCTGATACATTTTATGGTAATCTTTTCTTGTCAAGAAGCACGTATTATGCTGAACATGGAAGATTGACTAGAAGTCATATATACAACAATTTCTGAAACTTCAAAGACACCCTATATAAAGACTTTGGTTTTCAAGGGTTTATAGGACTTCCAAACAGTCTTTAACACAAGGTGTTTATATAAAGCTGCGTTTTTACCATAAGCTGCTTCATCTACACTCTGAGCCCTGTTGTGATAACAATCATGAACAGAGAATAGCCTGTTTTATTCATAAACATTACACGTTCCATATCAAACTTGTGACGCCCATGAAAATACTGACTGGCTAGTCAATTATTTCCTTGTTATGCATTAGAATGAAAAAATGACTAGTAGTTTGAGGAAAAATTTGAAATACTTCATAGAATATTCTTATTTCTGGCAGAAGTAATCTAGCAGAAATCCTACATCTTTGGGCCCACTGGGTAGAGAATATCGTAACGTGTCTTTGCCTGACACCACTGTCTGCCCTCCAGGGTCGGAAGCCCTGAGAAGTGCATCTGCCTAGGTGTACCGGCTGTGACAAGTGGGGACACATGTGGGCATGTCCACCCCCCAGGAAGCTTTCTCAGCAGTGCAGTCATGAACAGAATGCAGGGAGAAACAGCTAAGCCCAGAGACTCACATCTCCAACAGGAAGTGTGTTCTGCACTTCCAAAACAGGAGGTGTTTGTAAGCCTCAAAGTATAATTGCATATATATGGAGGGTGAGTATAATTGCATATATATGCATCTGTGGGCCCAATTAGAACTTCTCGGGATTAGCTGCAGGAAGGTGTTAAAAGTTTTTAGGTGTTTATTAGTATTTTATAAGCAAGTAGTATACAAACTTAGCTGTTATATTGCCAATATTGATCCTAAATGTACAATTCACTGATAGCTCTTCAAATATGTGACACCAAAACATAAACGGAATGCTTTGTCCTGATGTGCTTCTGACATGATCTAAGCAGTTTTTCCCTGTGACACAAGGAAAGATAAGCCATTGTACTTTCACAATGCTAATGCTGAAACTACATTATATACTTACGTGTCTGTTGGAATTTTGATAATGTCCAATTTGTATTTAAAAAATAGGCTAGCAATCTCAACATATTTTTCAGGTTTCTCTACCACAGGCTCTGGGAAAAAAGCAAGTTGTTAAATATTTTCATTCATAAAAGAATTTAATACTATTATTGTTGAGAAATAATTTCCAAATGGGATTCATCACCCCTAAATAATTTTCCAAGTATTATCCCATGCACTTGAATGGAACAGAAAAAACAGGGGTGGTTCCAGGTGACATGTCATGAAAAAATAAATGCTTTACACTCTGATCCACAGCTTGCAAAGTAGTGGCCTGAAAATTAGTTGTGCCTAATTTATATACAAGGTTGGCCAAGGTAGCTCAAAACAACTATGACAGCACTTATTGCCTTTGCCAATTTCCTCTATTTCTCATCCCAGTATACTTTGCTAGCCTGCCTGCAACACTTTCATGCTCAAGCTATCTCATATAATCTAACTCCACTATGCAGTACAGACAACCCTAGAAAAAAAATTACTCTAAAACTGTGAATTGATGCAGCAGTACTAGTCACATACTTGAAATTTTTAAAAGGTGTTCAGAAGCTTTCATGGTTCTCCATCAGGGAGCTTCTGTGTTACTCTGATACCATCCCCTCTTCATTTGCTCCACTACAGTGCTTTTCTCAACATAAATTATGACATTTCTCAAAGCATATATATAGGAAACACATATATATAGGAAATATGGCAAAGAGGAAGTAATACAAAATTGAGTTCAATTGAAATTGAGCTAACAGATGATAAGTATGGTCCTGAAATAATTACAATGTAATTACAAATTTATTTTGCAGTTTTTAGTAGACAGACCTTGGGGTTCAGATGTCACAACAACTTGCTTTTTCAGACGGAAAAGCTTCCAAGGTGGAAGTGGTGGTGGTGGTTCTGGAGGTGCTACAAGAGGACAGGACCTAGTTCTAGTGATCAGGACAGGATGGTTGTGTATATGGGAAAGGCCATATTGCCTCATCTTCTCTGAAGAATCAGCCTATGGAACATGGAAGAATAACCTTACTGGGTCAGATCTTTCTCCTTATGTCTGTCTAACACACAAGAACAGTATGCACACAAAGGTATCTAACAGCTTGCATAACAAATGAAATTAATATAGTCCACCTGGCAAGACTATCCAAAAACATGATCCAAATTTGATATTCAGCACAAGAAGTATACTTCGGTGTTTAGATGCATTTTACTTTTTATAATAGATTCATCACTTTTTTTTAACTTATTTATACAACCATAACATACAATGAATATGTAAGAAAGCAATAGGCACAATATTTTCTTTTAAATAACCATACTTAAAAACGTTTTCTTAGGGAAAAAAGTCCTTACTTCATGCTGAATTTATAAAGTGGAAGAATCCTAAAATCAAATGGTCTTTTAGATACCTAGTAAAAACTCCATAATGTATTGCTTTGAACCAACACATCATTAAAACTAAGATTTTTATTTGACGGATCATTTATAAAACATATTAAAAACAGTTCAGTTGACCTATATACCGAAGCCCTTAGCAAAAGACTTAGTAACAATTTTACATGTGGACATCAAGTGGTGCTCTTCCCACTAAAATAATAATGGCCTAGGACTTAAATCTCAACTGAAACGTCTGTTAGATTAAAAAAACAGCAGTAGTTAGACCATCCTTTTAATTTTAAAAGCACACATGCTAAATAAATCAACAATAACTTATTTCTTTAACATACTCATCAGTAAGTCTCATATCACTTCTGCTAATTTTAAAAATGTTCCTTTGGTTCTGTATTTATGAACTCTGTAGAGAACGCTGTTGTGGTTGTCATTTAGTTGAAGAGTGGAGAATGATTTAAATTAAAAATGCCAGTTAAAACATCCAAGATTGAAAAGGATTTTGAAGATAACCAGTTAGGTGCCATAAAAGAGAATTTAACTATTGAGTGTACTACACACTTGTATGACACAATTACTGATATTTTTTTCATTTTATTTGAGTAAACTAAGACAAATTCAAGCCACCACAATCCAAGGAAATCCATACTAGAAAGTAAAGATAAAAAGGATACCGCAAAAATCTGGGAGAAAAATTCTGGCACAACTGCAGTCAATGACAAAATTTTCTCCCAGTTTAGGGAACAACTCTTACCCCAGTGAAATAATTTTCTAAACTTTATTTCAATCAGTGTCATTTTCCTCAGCCCTTTAATACAGCTTGAAAATGGTGGGGGTTTATCCATAAGAAATCCTCTACACTTCTATATTTAACTTCTGTCAAATTCCATTTTTCGATCAAGTCTTTGCTAAAATACTAGTTTAGACATATAGATTCATCTGTCTTATCCTATTTGGTCTGCCATACCTCTTTTTCAGTAATCTCTACATCCCAACAGACTGCACTCAAGTTTAAGACTCAGGGTGTTAGGTAGCAGGAAAAATAAAAGCCCATGTCCCCACTTCCACTTGCCTTTTGATGACTAGCATTACTTATTGTTAGCAAAAAGACAATATTGCTAAAATCTTAATTAAAATAAATTAAAGTAATATCACAGATAAAATGTTAATATTCTAAATTGCATAAATTACACAGCACAATTTAAAAAAAAAATAGTGCAAGAATTAAGTGCACTAAAGCATAACACCTGCAAAACATTTCTGGAAATTTCTCTATGAAGGTTACCAGTTTCCTGAGAAGGCAGCTTAAAATGTAATGATCTAATGATCTAACTATGATAAAATATAATTTAAATGTACCAAAAAAAAAGGAAACCTAATTAATAATGAACTCAAGAAAGCCTGCTGTGGCATTATAAAAAGCTTTCTGAGGAGTGTGAGTGACAAAGTGGAAATTTAAGTGATGTTTTTACCCCAGCTGTATTAAGCGCTACACTTTTTCTAGCTGCTTTTACCAGTTGCAACCCTGATGTCAGAAATAGATATAAACACGCTATTTCTTATATAACAACAAACAGGAAATCTTAACTGTCTTCAAAAAAATTAAAATTCATGTTTTTCAACTAGTCCTTAAAATAATTAGACTTTCCATTTGGAAGTATCTCATCATGATACATTTTCTAGTCCACATCTAGTCTCTCCTATGAGACTTCAGCTTCTGGAACCCTGAGGAATGTGGAGGAAAACTCAGTAAAATCAGCAGGCTTTGGCAGTGAAATGCATGTTCAGAACACAGAAGTACCAAAATATAAATTTAACTGACAGTCATCATCTAGTGACTGTTTCACTGCGCTAACTGCATTCCTTTTGTTACAATATTGTTGCAATAAAATGAAACACTCTGATAACAAAATAAGTAATGCTTTCCTGTCCTGAGAGGACAGAATCTTACCATTTGTGCTAATAAAAAAATGTCCTCTTCAAACAAATGCAGCGGTATACAGCCAGCATACACGACCATTTCTGGCTGGGTTTCTACACAGAAAACATCAAAATGCTTTAGAACAAGGTACAGAGTAAAAAACATAGCTGTAGCTCACACTACATTATTGTGCTTTCTCTGTCTTATTTTTATTACTATTTTCTTTATCTGACTGTTATTTTATTCAAAAGAGGGGTTCATTGTAATGCACTTTGAAAAGAAGCCATGGATGAAAAAAACCATCTCATTTAAATTATCAACAGCACAAATATTTTACTTATTTTTCATAAATGAGTGGCAAAAAATACAATTTTAAAATATGACAGATTAGGTACTTTTCAACACTGTTTTTTTGTTTTACTTCAAATTTTAAAACCAGAAGATACTAGCATAAAGAAAACAATACACATAATCTGTGTAGATGAAGTAAAAACATTCTGATTGGTCAGTACTAGCTAAACACGTCTCACCAGTGAAGGCAATACTTATCTTGCTAACAAAAGGCTCCAAAGCCAGAGCTCTGACCACTGCTGCCAAGGGATTTGGAGATTGAGATAAGTAATTTGAGTGCCTGGTTACTGCACTTTTGTCAAGCAGATGAAAAAACAGAGATAACAATGGCTGCCTCAGAAGGTATGAAGCTCTTATTCCACATACCTTATAGAAGTTTGTTTGCCTGTAATTCTGCTATAGGCAAGGAACATAAACGGGGAAAATTCACTTTGTTAACCCCAGAAATCTGTTGCACTAGGCAAATATATAATCATCTCCTACTCTTATCTGTGAAAGAAGCCACTGTCAGAACTCATTCCCATACAGGCCACCAATTGCTGGTGTTGGCACTTGGCACCAATCAACGGTGGATGGGAGCTGTCATTGTTAGTTTATTATCTTACTGCAAGACTTTCATACCTTCTCTCTGAGTTCTCACAGGCAGCTCCTTGCAACACTGACTCCTTTTCTCTTCCTTCTGCACAGCTGCCTGACCCTTGCTCCTCACAGCAGCACAACCAAGCAGCTCCAACTCTCCCCTCAACCAGCTGACCCACTCTTTTCTAACACCCATCCTTACTGGACACAGCTGTGACCTATTAAAGGCAAGGCTGTTCCTACTCTTTGGTAATTTGTACAGCTGCAACTCCTCAGGGGCAAGATCGCCTTCAGCACTATCTCTATTCTCTCACAATCCATCCTCCCACAAGCCACTGCTAAGAATCATAAAAAGAAGACAAGGATGTCTAACAGTCTGTTCATGCTGAAGGGAAATTAAAAGTCTAAAACATAAAACTTGAAATACACATCTCTGGTTTTAACAAAAAGACATCTCAAAAAGAAAGGTATATACTTCTTTCTACTTTCCCTTAGTTATCTCAGAAAACTCAGAGACAAGATTTCAGTACACAGGTTGTGACAACTGTTTTTCAGCAGAATGTTCTTTAGGAAAAATTTCTTCACAAAAATAGTTGTTAATTATTGGAACACGCTGCCCAAGGAAGTAGGTGAGCCATCATTCCAAGAGGTATTTAAAAGATATGTAGATGTGGTACTGAGGAATGTGGTTTAGTGGTGGGCTTGGCAATACAGGTTAACAGCTGGATTCAATTAATTTAGAGGTCTTTTCAAACCTAAATGATTCTATGATTCTATCCCCATCTAACAAATCCCATCCCCATCTAATAAATATTCAACTGGAAGTTGCACTAAGAATAGGTATTTTCTGTGAAATGAAATAAAACAAAGCTATCTGCATATAAATAGGCAAGTGTCTGGAAAATATGATTTTTCAGATCTAAACTCTATTTATTCAGAGGGTATGCAGTATTTTATTCTCAAAGTATATCTTTGCATCTTATATATTCTTCCAGGAATTCAATTACCAAATTAAATATAAGCTAAAGGCAAGTAAGACTTTCCAATGGATTCTTAATTTTTCTCACTGCATGCTTGTGATTCCTATGTTAACCACAGCTCTTGTGTTAGGTGTGGGTTTCAACTTATTCAAAAGCAAGGCTATAGTTAACGTTAATCTGTTACCAATATATCTGATTTGCTACAAACACAACGATATTAGCTATGATGTCCTGCACATTACAGAACAGTATGTGCCATAAGGCATACCAATCTCATTGCATGTGAGAAGTATTTCTGAAATAAAAGTATTTAATCAAATACCAGGTGGAATGTAAAGCTGTCATATTCAGTACAGATGGGTTGTGAAATAAAATGTCTGCAAGGCAGACAATAAACAGCAATGAACAAATTTTAGAGCATGCAAATGATTAACCAGGCACATCACATCCACTTTAATAATACTATTACAACAGTAGTACATTATACCAGCAGCTTTAAAAATTACATATTATTTGATCTTTTTTCACTGTACAAAAAATGAGGAAAAATGTATGCAAATTATTTGGCACCAAGTGTAATGATGATTAGTGTGGATTCAGCACCTGGGGAAACTAGTTCAAACTGATAGCCTTTATAAAATTGCACTATTAGATGAAAAATGTTTTAATACACAGTATAACAAAACAGATTCAGCAAAGCCTATTATTTCTATCCATCAGTGTGGATATAAGAATTCTGGAGTGCTTTGTTAAAAAATTCTGAATCCATGTAGCTACTTATATTTCACAGTTGCAGCCTTGCAAATTCACTTACAGAGAATGAGCACTAAATCAACCAAAAAAAATGCTTCAGTCTCTTCACGAAGGGAAAGTAAGATTTTAATCGATCCATGTAAAATACATATCCAATCACTTAAAAAGAAAGGCCATGAATTAAAATTGTTTGTTTTAATAGATCCTAATCATTTTTGTTTATCATATGTTTTACATATGATTTGCAAAGAATTTTCTCTCTCTTAATGTTTCTTTTAAGTATTTATCTATCAAACAAGAGCTGGTGTAGTATAACTTTCCAAGGACTAATGATGCCAGATGAGGACCACAAACATGATGTGAAGGCTGGAGAACCTCTCCTGTGAAGAAGGGCTGGAAAAGTTTGTGTTGTTCAACCTGAACTAGAGAAGGCTCCAGGGAGATTTTAGAGTAGCCTTCCAGTATCTAAAGAGGGGACTACAAAAAAGCTGAAGAGTGATTCTTCAGGCCATGGAGTGATAGAACAAGGGGCAATTGTTTTAACTGACCCCTCTGAAAGAGGGCAGGCTTAGATGTAGAAAGAAAATTCTTTACTGTGAGGATGTTGAAGCACCAGAATAGGTTGCTCAGAGAAGCTATGGATGCCCCATCCCTGTATGTGTTCCAGGCCAGGCTGCATGGGGGAGGCTGTGAAAACTCTGGCTTAGTGGAAGATGTTCCAGCCCATGGCAGAGGGTTGGAACTATATGATCTTTAAGGTCACTTCCAATCCAAACCATTCTATGAAAACACATCAGTTGTCTTTCAATATCCTGACCATGAGGTGTGCAGCTCAGATGTTAACTTCTGCTGCCTGTGATAGACACAGATTGGCTTTGCATACTGGAAGGTATTTTTGAGTTTTCAGAGAAATAACCTGTGTGCTCTTCAGAAGTGACATAAATATCACAGAATAATGATATGCACTTGAAAAAGCAAAACATTAGGCTTCAATCCATCTTGCAAATGAAAACTCTTGAATAGGTAAAAAAAAATTATAATAACATTACAGTTATGTGACGTTTATCTCATTGACTCAGATGATTACAGATCTACTTGTTTGATTTCAAAAACTTCTAAGTATAATAATAATCTCAACACTTCTGTGACATAGAAAATATTATCTTTAATTATAGAATTTGTATCAAGGCACAATGAGAATAGCAAAATACATGGTTGATTTGTAGAACAAACTTCCAAATTCCTAGCTAGTGCCCTTTCAAACGGAATAGTGTTCCCTTTGCAGCAGTTCAGAAATTATTAAGAAACTCAGTAGTTTGGAAACCCAAATGCAAGCAAAGCAGTGATTCTTCATAGGAACAAGGTGATTGAGTACCTTGCTGCATATAGGTAAAACCTTACAAAGGGAAGACCCTGTAAAATCAGGCCTGCTACTTTGGCTAAGAAGAAAAAGACTACGGGAAAGTGACTCAGCTAAGTTAGAGGCAGAAAAACAAGGTACATCACCATCGCGTGTTCACATCATGGTGTGTGGTGGTTGGTTGAATTATGTTTCTTATGATTTAAAAGTATGTATGTTTCTTATGATTTAAAACTTATAAAGGCCTGACTGCATAAAAAAGGCCTGGTTTTTACAATAAAGCAGCTCTGCTGTGCACATGCCTGGGACCCTGTGTGACTTCGCACCCTCACCTCACAGCACCTCATCTCACATCATATCATTTCAGTGTAATAACTGCTCATAAAACAGGGGGATACCCTAAGTATGAAAGGTCTGTTACCAGAAGAAAAAGCTGCTGAGTGGAAAAGTACAGTAGAAACATATGAATTGTCTGCCAAAACTTCCCAAAGACTGGCTGACCGATAAAGTCAGATCAAGTCAGTCAGAGAAGTCCTTTATCAAAGTTGGTTGCTCTCAGGAAAAGTTCAGTCTGACCATATCAAGGGCTTGTTATTCAGCTGGATCCACACAACTGGATGAATAGAGAAACAAGTTCAATGCTTCAATGAACCTGCCACTCATACTGTATTTGTGGGGTGCAGCAGGCATTGGTCTGACTGTGCAAGTAGTTCAGATCTGCATATGTTTGTACTGGATCAGGCCAGGTTTAAACTTTCATCAGGGCAGCCCTCGTGATGCTGTTTTAGATACATCACCAAAACACTGGGGTAACATACGAGTACATCAGTGACTGCTGAGCCGAGCCGCACACCAATAAATCCTCTGTTTCTCACTCCACTACCCCAGCAAGAACACTGAGGGTGGACAAAGGATTCAGTCCTCATTCTCTGCCCCATCCCACTGTGGGGAGTGACTAGGTGGTGGCTTAGCTGACAGACAGCATCAATTCACCACAACACTACATCAAAAGCCTGTAAGAGATGTTTCCTGGTACTTCAATGTGTCATGAATAACAAGGCCATGAACATCCAATGCAACGAATACAGAAAGTTTTGCCATTTTAAAAGTCAAATATAAATAATATCTGGAGTAGTTGAGTATCTCTTTAGAAACAGTCCATATTTATGACCAAGAAGAAAAATTCCCTTGAAGTCAACAGTCAACAGGCAGAGTGAAAGCTTGCAGAAGGGAAGTAAGCACTTTTATCATGCTGGGAATGAAACAGATTACACATCACATATCTCACAACAAAAATGCATTGTAATTCAGTATTACATCAAACTTCCAATTCCCTTTTTTTTCCTTTTAGTCTAATAATTTTAAATTTGCTCTGTTACTATAGAGTTATCTACCTCTTACTCTTCTCCCAAGTCTTTTTTGGTTCAAACTTAGGATAAAATAGTTCTCTGATCAGTGTACGTGAGACCTGAATTAATAATATTTCTAAATAACCTCTTCACAGGACACTAATTGGCTTTCAGAAAAAAGCATTGATTGTGCTTTAAGTGGCAGGATAAAGATCTAAATATCATGTCACTTATCACATAGAAGCACTGCCTCTGTTTTTTAATGCACTTTCACTCATTTTGCACACTTTCTAGAATGCATACCTTAGGTCCTTTTTCTTCCCTTCTGCTTTCCTTTCTCCATCACATGCTTGAGTACTAGTTAGTCACATTACTTATATTCACATGAAACACCTCATTTCCTATTCCACAGTTATGTTAAAGCAAACTACATTCCTGCAATATATTTTTAAATTTACTGCTGTTTAACTAATTTAGTGGTATGTAAGGCAGGAATTTAAAGAAATATATTTGCTGATGACAAACCACAATCTTAGTTTGCAGTAGTTTAAAATTATTTAAATCACTAATTTTAATCAGGATTCAAATCAAGAAGCAGGAAGGCCATTTATGTAGTACATTTCATTTCTGCTTTGCAGTTATTTCCCTTAGGAAGAAGTTCTACATATTCTCACCTATTGATTTGCAACTGCAAATTATTCCAGTTAATAAGTGGTTTTTGCCGCTATTCACATGGAAATGCCACATGTATCTAAACATAAGCAAAGCCAAGAGCATATAAACTTACTGTACATTTGTGAAGATCTTCTATAGTTTATGCTAATAAATTTGAAATATCTTGGTTGATTGTTTAGCTGTCTGATTAAGATTTACTTGTAATTTGTTTAAAATATATTTTCTTGAGTTTTTTTGTTTGTTTGCTTTTAACATTATATATAAATGCACAAAGCAAGAATTTACTTAATTTTTATGCTCTTATGAATATATCAATACAGGAATCAAATTCACCACTATGTATTTCCTGGACAAGGTTTAAAAAAAATTAGATTTATATCATGGAGTGAATTCTATCAAATATTTCTGCCTCCCCCCTGGTTCCCCTGCCCTTCGACAAAGAAGCATTCCTGCTTTTTCCAATTGCAATTTTGTGTATAAAGTGGATATTGAACAAATAAATTACAAAAGAGGAAGGATTGCTGTTTTTTTTAAAAACAGAACAACAGTAAGACAGTTTGCCACTAAAGCAAAATACTGCAATATACTATTTTTAATCTATGTTGCAGATTAGGTTATAATGACTTCAGTATATAATGTGAGCTATAAATAACTACTACAATTTAAACCAAAAAAAAGTAAATACAACCTCCCCCCAGTTAAGTTCAAAACCAAATAAAAGCAAAGCCTTTTACTTTACATATAACTCCTGTCTATTTTTAGCTTCAAAACAACAGGACTTACTTTCAGTTAAGTCCTGAAGGCCTTGGGCTTTTGCCAGCTTTTCTGCTCCCTTGCCTTTTTCTTTCTCTCTTCCTTTTTTTTTCTTTCCTACTTTTTTCTGCTCTGCTTTTTCTATTAAGCAAAATAAAGATTAAATATTTTTCTTTCTCAGATAAAAACTTTCAATCATCAAATGTCATACTGTATAAATGCTTTAGTAAGATTTTAGATAAATTTTTAAAACAATCAACCACAAACTCTTTAAAGTCAAGGGCTGAGATACAATAAAAATGAATGTAATTTAATTAAAATAAATATAAAATAAATAAAAAATAAAAAGTAGTCCTTAGGATGTAAATGAAGATTTACTGAGAAGGAGCCAGAAAGGCTTCAGTTCCACTTTTTAGTTATTGCACAACTTTTATGTCCTTACTACAATGTAACAAATCACTGTATTTCTGGCACTGTGCCAAATATTTTCTTCATGTCCTTGCTCTCATGCATCAGCAATTACAAAAAAAAAAATTCACATAGACAATGTATAGATTCCCAATGGACATAGAAGTAGAATGTCTCCCACAGACCAAACATTCTTTGAAGTCTTAGAACTTGGACTACAGGAAAAGACTTCTTAAATGCATTTTAAAAAATCATAGAATCATGGAATGGCTTGGATTGGAAAGGACCTTAAAGATCATCTAGTTCCAACTCCCCTGCTGTGTTCAGGGACACCTTCCATTAGAGCAGACTGCTCAAAGTCCCATCCTGGCCTTGACCTCTTCCACAGATTGGGCAACCAGAACTTTGAGGAATCTGTGTCAGGAGCTCTCTATTGTCAGAAAGAATTTCCTTTGAATACTCAATCTAAACCTGCTCTCTGTGACTTTAAAGCTATTCACTCTTGCTCTATCACTACATGCCCTTGCAAAAAGTCCCACTCCAGCTCTCTGGTAAGCCCCCTTTAAGTATTGGAAAGTGCTCTAAGGTCTCTTCCGAAGCCTTCTCTTCTCTAGGCTGAACAATCCCAGCTCTCTGACTGCCTTCATAGGAAAGGTTCTCCAGCCCTCTGATCATCTTAGTGGCCCTCCTCGGGACTCATTCCAACAGGTCCATGTCTTTCTTGTGCTGGGACCCCAGAGCTGGATGCTTCACTCCAGTTTGGGGTCTCAGAAGAGCAGAGTAGAGGGGGAGACTCACCTTCCTCATCCTGCTGGCCACACTACTTTGGATGCAGCCTAGGATACAAGTGCCTTTCTGGGCTGTGAGATCACACTGCTGGCTCATGTACTGCCTCTCATCCCCCAGATTGCCCATGTTCTTCTCCACACGGCAGCTCTCAGCTCTTCTTCCAGTCTGTACTCTTGCTTCAGATTGTTTCAATCCAGGTGCAGCACCTTGCACTTTGGCTTTCTGAACCCCATTAGATTATCATGGGTCCAATTCTCAAGTTTGTCCAAGCCCTTTAGGATGGCATTCCTTCCTTCCTTTGTGTCAACTGCACAATACAGCTTCACAGAATCACAGTGGTCCAATCTGGTCTGACCTCCCTGCTCCACCAGTGTCATTCTAGAGCACATGGCACAGGATTGCATCCAGGAAGTTCTTGAATATCTCCAGTTTAAAGCCATTCCCAGTGAAGGAAAACCTCTCCGGGCAATGTGTTCCTGCTAGGTCACTTACACAGTAAAGAAGTTCTTCCTCATGTTCAGGTGGATTTTCTTGTGCACCAGTTTCTTCCCATTTCCTCTCTTCATATTGTTCAGCATCATGGAGCAGAGCCTGGTTTCATCTTCTTGGAACCCATCTTTTAGACACTTAAGACATATTGATGAGGTCTCCTCTCAGTTGTCTCTTCACAAAGCTGAACAGGCCCAGCTTCCTCAGCCTTGCCTCGTTAGAGATGTTCCAGTCTCCTAATCATCTTCACTGCCCTCTCTGCTGGACTCACCCAGGAGCTCCGTGTCTGTAATCTGCTGAAGAGTCCAGGTCTGGACACAGCATTCCAGATGCAGACTGAGTAAAGGGGCATGATCAGCTCCCTCGACCTGATGGCAATGCTCTTCCTAATGTATCCCAGGACATCCTCGGCCTTCTTGACCCCCAGGCACACTGCTGAATCAGGGACAGCTTGTTGCCCACCAGGATCCTCAGGTCCTTATCTCTCATGGTGACATGGATGGCTTTGTATCATCCAAACATTAATCCCAAACATCAAAAGAACATCTCAACAAAGCTTTTAGCCTCGGAGTTGTAGATTACAGAGCTGTATCGGACACAATGGTTCCCTGATTCTTAGCTATTTCAGTTACTAATGAATTTTTAAGTCTTAGGCAGGATTACATTTACTTTGTTTTCAGAGAAAAAAATGACAGCACCCTGTTGGATAAACAACATTGCTGTTCCCGGTGACATGTCCGTTCCAGACTGAAATATCTACCACACTGATGGCTGGGTCAAAATGATAGCAGGATTTCCTAAGAATAGAGAATACTACCTCAGCCAGGTAACTTCTAAGACTTTTATAACACTTTAGACATTGGGACATAGTATTAGGGATTCAAAGCGAGGAAGTCAGTGATTTTTCCAAAAATCTAGGAAGAAATAAAAATTTTAGCATTTGATTTTTTACTCTCCAAAGGCATGAGAAGTGTTGTAAACTTGCACCCATGTCTTCAAGCTAAAAACAGCAATTAAGAAAACTCAGTTGCAAATAAAAATAATGAGGAATAATCTACCAGAACAGACAAGTTTCTAAATCTAAATTTTTTAATTTAAATGTAAATAGGATTAGCAGCTCTTAAAGAAAATTATTGCCTATACCTAATAGCATAAAATAAAAGTTGCAATAAATAAAAATGCAGGTAGATATTAGAACATATTTGTCATAACCCTGTAGGTAATCACACTTTACAACACCCATTATTAAATGTATAATTAATTGATGGTCAGAGCAGTGTTGCGTTTGGAGAAACTGTAACCTGATTGGTATCTCTCTGCAAGGAACCAGACTTTTGAGAAATGACATGGAGCTGAAAAATCTCTGACAGAAAGTAAAGCTATTTTTATAAAATAAAAGACTAGTACTGCTTCTCATGAGATCTATAGCTAAAACAAAAGTATTTTGAATGTATTTAATTGCAACATGTTTGGTGAAACAACAAACCCACAGATTTGCATGTGGCAATATATGCAAAATACACTTATTTGAAACAGAGATGATGTTAACATTATTTATGCTTGGCCTACAAAGATCAGACTATGTAAAATTACAGACCTTTGCTAACATTATTGGCTGTCTCTGCTCTCTCAGTTGTATCTGGCAGCTTACTCACAGATGAGCCTACACTTTTTAACTCTGAGTCTCTGCTCTCTTCAGTTTTTGTGTCATCCTGAGTCATCTCAAGTTCTGGGGCCTTCTTCTCTGGCAACTTGAATTCTGGCACAATCTCTTGCAAAAGGCTCCAAACTTTGTCCAAGTATTCGGGCCTTTAAGAGAAAACATAAATGTATATGTCATTTATGGACATAGGGATATTTCCAATAAGAGAAGAAAGTGTGATTTTCGTTTAGACAGCACTATACCACAACTGACAGTCCAACTCTAAAAATGCTACTGGGTTATTTTAGCAGATAAAACACACTCTGTATCAGAAATATTTGTTAAGACAGCTTATGGAAAGACCCATAAAAAAAGAGATGGTGGTTAGAGAAGCATGCAAATAAAGCACCCTTTCTCAAGATTTTTAGCAGATACAAGTTGCGGCAGAGAAACTTTCAGACCACTTTACAACTACACCATATAATATTGTGATTCTATCTCTGTATATGAAAAAGCTTCTCAAAGGTACTTCCAAACTGGAAAGTTTTTGATATGATGTAACAGTTGCAGTCATGTTTGTTTTCCACAGAAACTCGGTGATTCCAGAAATAATCTCAAAAAGAGTCATGAATGAGTTTCATGCAAGCTAACTGCATTCAACTTTTTGGTAAAAAATAGAATAAGTGATTGTAAAATGAGCTAGTCATCTTATACTACTATTCCAAAGACTCTGTAGTATTCACATTCTCATATTCCATGATAAAATGTATTTGTATTATGTAAATACTGTTTTTTGCTGTTGAAATTGTAAAACTAACTGTAGAAAGAAATAAAATTTAGGCTACTTTGTCACTTTGTTTTTTTAAAAGTTTCAAAGTTCTTCTAGAAGTTTTTTATACCTTTTGATGTTTACATGTTTGTACTGGAGTTCTCACGCACTGTCACGTAAATAATAATTGTTTTGCATTCTTCTTTGTAAGAAGAAAGAATTTGTAGACTGCTAGTTTGACTAGTGTAGTTGGAGAGGTAGCAATTTCATCCTCCAATCCACAGTCACTTTTAGAATTCTATATATTGCGAGGTCAAAAATAAAGTTCCCTCCTTTTACTCTTTTTTCCCTCTTTTACATCTAGCGTGCATGTGTGTGTTATTTTGTGTCATAGTATGACACTAAGATTTTTAAGTCCATGAACTACATGCACACTACTGTAGGACACAAATATATCAAAAACCTAAATTGCAAGCATAGCTTAAGATAGAAAAATTACTGAAAATTAAATAAAATATTATTTGACTGAAATTATTTATTAGCAAAATATGTTATAAATAAACAACTATATCTAAGCAAATTATATATAAACCATAACTATTTGTTATCTATATATTCATTTGAATGTATCTATCAAAAGGCAAAAAGGTGTAATTGAAAAGAAAGGTCTAAATATTTAGTATCAGTGTCTGGGTAATTAATTTAGTAAAAAGAATGTCAAGCTGAGGAGTCAGAATGCCTTTCTTTAAAAATACAAAATGAACATAAAACACACAGGAAACAAGAAAAATGTTATCGTAGGTAGGAAACACTATTTTTGATCAAAACTAGAAGTCTGCTAACTGTTAAAATTTAAAGGGTGGAAACACCATACTAGCTGACATTGATTACTTCCAAATCCATAACATGTGCTTCCTATGGTATATTCAGACACAAAATCATTATCAGCAGACATTTTAAAACTGCATACTAAATGAAACATAGATTTCCCTAACCTTGTTTTCCTCATGCTGTTTAATATTAGTTAAATTAATTTTATAAAGAAGAGGCATCAGTATGATAAATAGTTTTACAAGAAACTGTATGACTTACAAAGAAAAACACACTAAAATTGAATTTCTCAAAGTTACATTTCCCAGGTGCCTGAACTATAAACCATTCACTTTCCAAAATTGATGGTGAAGAACTTTTAGGGCTCAGATTTAATTTTCATAATGCCTTACAGAATTAAATATTAAACAACTAACACATAAATTGTTAAATAAAAGAACTTACTGGAGAGGAATAACTTCTGGTATCCATCCAGTCAGTGTTTGTAGAACTGTAAATTCCTCCATTTCTCTTTTTCCAGTTTCATGTATACTATAAGACAAAGCAGTCTTTTTACAATTATAATGTCACCAACTACAGTAAACTCCGTAGTCTACATTTCTTTCTGTAATAAGACCATGTAATAAGGAATAAGATCATACAAAAAATAATTAGATGAAAAACAAGTCATTACTTGCAATTTTAGGAGTTTTCCAAGCCGCTGCTGACTACTCCCCTAGAAAGTCAATTATTTTAGTCCATTATTTTAGTGCTTCCTCTGGTACAATGGCTTTTTTTTTTTTCAACTTTGCTAGCAAGCATACTATGTATAGTTGCACACATTTGCAGAGCTGGAGACTGGGTTTGAAATCCCTTGTGCTAAAACAGGGCTATGATTCTAGAGCTTCAATTTCCTAAGCAGCTTCTCCAGCTCCCAGGTTATTCTGAACAAGCTGGTTCACTCTAGCTGGTTCACTTCCACTCTAGCAAAGTTCACTCTTTCAAATTGACACTGCTGCTCTGGAGTAGTTTCCTGAGAGGATCAAGGCAGAAGCCAGTGCTTGTATGGCTAACCCTTGTGCTCTGCAGAAAGGCAGTATGTCAATCACATTCCTGCAAACAGATTCCTAACAGGCGTCTCTCAGCAACCCCTTAGCCTGTGTCAGCATACTTTAGATGACTCTTCTGACAAACATAACTTGATATGACAAGAACAGGGAAGCTTCACTACCCAGTGTGTGTTTTCAATTATTTTCTCAAACTTATTCATTTAAAATCTTGGTGTTCATTCCTCATCTCATAGGAACCTGTAGCCATAAATGTCAATTACTGCATTGTACGCCACCTTCTACTTTTCCGGTCAGTTCTGGGGAAGTAGATCACTGTACACAACAGCACAACTGTAGCAAAGATATCAAAAGCAGCTCACAAAACTCTATTTTCAATATTGTTTGAGTCAATACTGGTCAAGGCTCACAATAACAATTTCATTAACAGTAAACAGGTACTTCTGTTAGCAGAAAGCCACATGTGAAGTTTTCAGGAATAATGTCAAATAAATGAAAAGAAAATGAGAGTACTCAAATTTCTTTGTAAGTTTTCTGTGAATAAATATACAGACACATCTAAAAATGCAATCCTGTGCCTTCTGTAGCTATAGAAGATTTTGTTTTACTGAATTACACCGTCATCTTTTGTGAGTGTATAACTGTCATTACAAAAATTCAGCAAAATATATTTCCTATGCACACTAAATCAACTTTTTGCTGTTACCATGTGACTTCACTAAACAAACCAAAAGTGAGATGACAAAACATACCTAGTATTTGCTAACTTAATTATTGCTTTGGACAGCAACATCGGCCAAAGTTCCTTTTGACAGGTTGTAGCTGGCAATAACAAATTCTCCTCTTCACTGAATGGCATAGTGTCATCCACAACGATCTTTCTCCAGCATCCCTGTGACAGGAGAAGGGGAGAAAGCAGAAAGAAAAAAATTAGTTTGTGGGCTGGCAAGTGAAAAGTACGTAAGAGAACTTTTAATGCTTTCTCAAGAACCCAATTCTACAGTAACTTGATCTACATCACAGATGGCTTTAAAAAAGGTTCTCACATAATCTATGAGAAACATGGAAACAGCATTCATTCCATTTTATTACTGCTCTGACTTATTTGTTCCAGAGAATAATCTAATTGCTGCTATTTCCAAATATATTTCATCTCATATGTGTAGTACATCATGTGCATGCATTCAGTACCGTTTCTTCAGTTGCCATGACAGATGCCTGAGAAACACTAATGATTAAAAAAAGGCTTAACTAAGATAGCAGCTTTTTAAATGTCTCTTTAGATATCAGTATGGAAAATACTTGTGATATAAACAGTCCCCCTTGCTTCCCAAAAACTACCTGGGATATTGACTGGCTCCAGTCTCCTGTTAAGCATTACAACAGTACTTCATAAGACACTATACTAAACAATACAAAATGATCAAATGTAAAAAAAAAAAAAAAAAAATCCAAAAAGGAAATTTTTTTTTTTAATTGCTGTATTTCCAGGATCAGAAACAAACAGGTAAGACAAAGTACTTTTATCTCCAATACCAGATACTTCATTAGTAAACTGAGCTAATATTCCACAAAATACTCTTGTCTACCATTTTCCAAATAAAACTCTCTGTCCTAGTGATGAGATATAATAGAAAACAGGTGGGGCAATAGCAATTACTTCTGTTAATTCGCCCACAAAATGATGAAGAATGACAAAATCACTGAAGTGTTCACCATGTGTTATCAGAGAATGCAAAACTATTGTTCTCTTTTTGTAACTAAACTATGGATTCAATCTGAAATTGCAGCTGATTAATGCTATGAATTCTATAGGTCTAAGGAGAAAACAAATTTAGGCCAGAGGTCAAAGATATTCAAAAAGCATAAAATAAGCTAATATTTTTTAGGATAAGAACCATTTTGTGACAACCAAAACAAAATATTTAAACTTCCCTAGTTTTAAAAGGACCTAGTTAGGGATATGATCACATATTCATCTCCTCTTCCAATAAGTGCTGAAATTTACTAGGGAGAACAGAACAAGTTGATAAGTAAAGGAAAAAAAAAACAAAAAAAAATTTAAAACAAAATTAAAATAGTGGGGCAGATCTGTAGAGGGAAAAAAGTGAAAAAAAAATAACTACAGGAACAAGTTCAATAAACCTCAGGAATACAAAGTGAAAGTAGAACATGGGACAGAATTTATATATTGTGTCAATTATGTAAAAAAAATTATTATACACAGGTTTGATGTCATGCACAAAAATGCCTTCAGGATTCAATGCAGAACATTAGTGAAATCAGTTCATTACTGTTCCACTTTTTGCCCTCTTTTTCATTTATTTTTCTACTTTCTCCTATGAAATATCTTCCTCCTCTATCTCTTCTGATACTTGTCTTTCCTTATTTGTATATTTTGTTTAATCTTCCAACAGGTGACCCCTCTTTTTTGCCTGTTTTTCTTTCTGTAAAATACAGCTGTATACTCAGAGGGCGAAAAAACTGAATAAACACACAGGTCCAAACCAAAAAAAAACCAAAAACAAACAAACAAAAAAAAAAAACACCAAAAAAACCAAAGAATGTAATGAAAAGTGACAAAAGTGACAAAGAAAATGAAGCACACAGGTAACTCTTGGATATGCTTTGAAATGTAGTCTTTTACCACATGACTTCATAATATCTGCAGCATTAACTTCACATACAGAATAATGTTCTCTGCTGAGGAACTTGGACAACACAATTTATGCCTTCTCAAAGTCATGCAACTCATTTCTGTATGAATATAAGTTATTCCACAAGTGAAGGCAGTAGTAAGGAGTGAGGAAAGCACAGGCATGCAAATCAGATTAAGTGTTGCCCTTACAGAGAAGGTCACTTTCAAGCTTTTGTTTCCAACTCACTGTCTAAAAATGTTTTCAACTTTGGGCAACTGGAAATTTTGTAGGGTTAGTTATATGTCGCAGCATGCTGTGACATTTTCTGTTTCCCAAAGGCAAATGTAACTGAAATAACTCCAACAACATAGATAACTTTTAGATAACTTTTAATTCTTTTATATGTTACTATTTCTTTATTAAAATGAGGTTCAATACGCAATTAAGTGTTCCCTGTTGACTGCCAAATGTGTTAAGAAATTATTATCTGTTATCTTTAGAAATCCTTGGGATGTTTCAGTTTTACCAGGACCACTTCAGAAAATGGTCCTCACACTTGAAGTATCTAACTATCTTTAAATACACTTAGAGACAAGTAGCTTTGTCAAGTCAGCCAACCGAATTACTTAAATATAAAAAAAATTACTTTAACCTAATACACCAGAGGTGTGAGCCACATGTCTGACTCTACTAAGCATTTGCATCAAACCTAAAAAATTACTAAAATATTGCCTTTGCAAGTAATACCACGTTTATCAGGCCACAAGTTGTACAAAAATCACATGAACTGTAACAGCTATTTTAATTAATAACCATTCAATAAATTTGTCAGTTTTTCTACTCCTAAAAATCTATCTATTTTCAATAATAAAATGTATGTCCAGTAATCATTAAAATTTGCCATGCTACTGCATCATATTTTTATATTGTTGGAGGAAACTACTCACCATCCAATAAAGTTTCAATACATATTTTCCAAATTTATTGTACAGTGGTATGTGATCATTGGTAGCTTTACATAAGGCATAAATGTGTTCCCAAGGTTTCCAAACAAGTGTGGGTGTTTCACTATTTAAGGAATTTTCATTAGATATCCTCCAGACAGCATAGATTTCACTTACAATCCATCTCATCAGCTAAACAAGAGAAAAATAGAAAAAAAATCTTTTCAAGTAACACATTTTGAAAAAAAAGCCAAGTTATAATCTCAAAGAATAAAACAGATCCTGTTGTAAAGAAAAAAGTGACATAAAAATATAGCTATGGTTTAATGGAAAAATGAATTTCACTGTTACAACTTACCTTAAAATTATTACAATACCTATCTAGACAAGGTTTTGTTAAATTTGGTAAAGGCACAGTATAAATAAAGGTATTCATCATTTAACAAAGACAAACTAAGAAATATGATCTTAAAATAAATTATATTACAGGACTTGTGAGTTGTCACTTGTTTAATTGCTTTTTAAAAGCCAGCTGCTAAAAGTCATTACTCCCTTAACTAGCCATTATTTGTACTCAGTAAAGGAAATCCTAAATTATTAAATGTACTTAGAAATTTTTAATTCTTAAAATAAGAGCTTTAACTAATCAGCAGATTTATGATGTATGCCATACTTTCACAAATATTACCAAACTGTTACAAGGATTTATATATGCTGGAATGAAAAAAGCTTTTACTACAAGAAACTTGCCCTAAAATTAATAAGTGGTTCTATGGACATACTAAGAAACTCGTCCTAAAATAAATTAGTAGTTTTTCAGACTTAAAAATTGACATGACCTGTATTCTGGTGTTTCCTCCCTTGTATCTCTGGTGCTGAATTTAAAATTTGCATTGACATACTGAATGAAATAGAAATTATTAAGTAATATTACGTTCAGTGAGGCACTCAGATGCCTTGGTTCGGCCTGGCATATATTTTCCCATGACCTGCAGAAATTCAGTAAACCTTTATTCAGCTCTGGAGAAATGGAAAAGACATTTGAACACACATGCAGACCCACTAGGACATCCAGAAAGTTTGAATAAAATATATAAATCTTTTCTAATATAGCCTTTATTTACTCCATACAATATTATCCAGTAGTAATTACCTTAGTTCATAGACTGCATATTTATTTATTTATTTATTTATTTAAAGTTTGGAAAACTTCTCACCATGATTTTTTAAATTCCAAAAAATGTAAACATAAAATTATAATAAACTAAATAATTTCTTGCCACTTTATCCCTTCATTCATTTTCCACTTAAAATTTTTCTCACAACTTATTTCTTCTTTGTACTAATTTGGAGTGAAATTCAAAAAGTTAAAGGATGATAAAAAGAAAATAATTTTTTAAAGGGACATGAATTTATTTCCACCTACCTCACAGCAAAATATGTGCTCATTTGCTGAAATAAGGTCAAATGAGGTTTCATTTTGGACTACCACAGGAACCTAGTAGAAAATAAATTAGTTAAGTACCTAAATAAATTATCTGGAAAAACATTACATTAATATTAGCATTCAACTGCAATGACCATGCAAATGGTGGACATCTGGCAAACACTCATTGCACATTTGAAAACTAGAAGTAATCATCTTGTAGATGGCTTGGTATTTCTTAAGAAAACTTCCTTAAAACGTAGGTTCAGAATTCTTAAACAATGATTATTATTTTAATTAGGATATTTAAAGAGCATCCAATTGAATAATCATATAAGTAAATTGAGACGCCCTCAATTTCTTAAGATACTTGCAGTTCTGCATTTAAATTATGGTCATAACATTGTCTTATACTTTGAGATTCCCTTAGCCACCCACCAGGGCTCACAGGGATCTATCTATTTGTTCATGGCCAGTTAGATAGTAATATTGTCTGAACAGCAACTTTATCAAACATTTGGCTGCATTACATTGTGTTCATGACTACTTTCTTCTTGTACAGCCCATTTCCTTTTTGTAAGCAGTTTCGTAATAACACACTGGGATTGCAGTTTATTGAACCAAATGTATCTGTGCCTCTCATCACATATTGGTGTTCGTTGCTTTATTCTTTGCTTACCACACTATTGGCTTGCTTATGCTTTCTTTTTTAGTTAAAATTATATCAGGTAACAAATAATTCTTAATAGCCTTTCATTGCTTGACATTTACATTAATTTTTATATAAATCGCTGGTATTCATTGTTGATTCAAAATATATTGGACCAAAAGAAGCCTCAAAGTTTTAATTGGGTCCTAAAGAAAACAAATGCTTTCTTCATAGTATTCCAGAGATAGATTTTAAAAGCTATTCTTAATATAGATACATGTTTCCATGACTTTCTAGGCTGCCAGCTCTCTTACCCTCATCTTTCAGATAGCTCCACTCAGTTTGTGCATTTTGGCAGTGTTTCCTATCCAATCTTTTGGTCTTGTCAATTACTTCTCTGACCTCTCCCTCTTCCTCCATTAAAAATTAAACTTAGATCTGTTTACTGTCTATTTAATAAAAAATGTAACTGACAAGCTGACAAAAGGAAAACTGATGGATGAGCCTGAAACAGTTGGAAGGGTGGTCCAAGTGCTTTAAAACTTCAGTATTTCATCTGAAGTAAATAATGTAAACCCTTAGATTAGTAACAGTATTGGAGAACACTATCTTTGAAATGGGAGGCTGTTTATTTTCTCTGCAATTAATTTTAAAATTAAACTGATTAACAGCTATGCACAATTTTAAAATGTTATGGTTACCTTGCCGACAAGTACTATCAAAGACATGTACTCTGTGTAACTGAGAAAAATATGATAGTTGAAGTGTGGTTCTGGTAAAGTTAGTTCATGGTTTCATGACAAATATGAATACTTCAGACACCTGCTCAGGTGGAACATGCAGAATTTTTTCTGCCATGACAGTAATTTTTAAATGAAAATAGAGAAATAGAAGACATCTATAAAAACTGAAAGGCATCTCTCTGTCCAGTTCTCTTCCAAATGAACACAGGAGTCCAAAAGTGAAGCAGATGTGAGAGGATACATGACCATGATGTTTTGCACCAGGAAGTGCTGGTCCATGGTGGTCTTATCCCATTAATAAATGTAATTAATAATTAAATCTCATAGTATACTTCTGTATAGTATCATTGAGAATGCTGTTATTACAGTAACTGTAAAGCATGTGATTAGCATAGGTAATCTTATGTCCTTTTAGACACTGAGAAACCCATATTGTGTGGCATCAAGCAGGCCTCTGATTCATCTATGTAGCATTCTGTGCAGATCCCACCCATTTTGGTTTTGCTGACTTATGATACGATTCGAGCTATGAAGCGATATTCTTACAAGAAAATAAATCTGCTCACAATTTCTGCTGTAAAAGGAAAGGAAGTTGAATTTGCTGCTGTGGTCACATAAAGTCAAGGTGATGCAGGTGATATAATTGCCAGTAAGGAGCAGGAGCTGCCTGCAGGCTCATCCATCACCATCAGCTGTGTGAGCTCACTCTGGGCCCAGGGTGTGGGTGCAGCACAGGTGAGCTGTCACACGTGTCACTGAGCCCTCATGTACACGTCTCCAGGACAGGACTGACTTGAGCGCTCAAGTGGCTTTTACCTGTTGAACTAACTTCCTCTGCTAATTTCACTCTAGTTTTTACAAGTTAGGAAATTAGAATTTTTTCATCATGACCTTGCTTGTTTCTTACCTCTTTTGTTAAAAACTCTTGTGGACGTTTCCATGAATGCACTTTTAAGGATGCTGGCAACTTTATTTTCCCTTCAGGATCATCAAATCCAGGCTACACAAAATATGCACGAACAAAAATTGACCACTTTTACTAATTACAGTATTGTATCTTCCATGAGATTTAAATATATTGTTCACAGGATAATCACTTAAGAAGCAAAATAGCATAAAAAAGAAGTAACACTATATACAACTGAACAAAGAGTCCAAAGCCCAAGGTGAAGATGCAGCACAAAAGCCACCTCCAGCATCCAGAGAAGTTTATATGGTCTGCACTTTTTCTAAGAGGTCTGTATGAAATGATTCTTTTTCTTTTCCCCTTTCAGAAAAATCTCCAAAAAAACCTTAAATTTTTAAGTCGTTACTCTTCTACCAAGTATGTAATTTTTCCAACTCACTTATTTCTATAGCTTTTTAAGGTGAAGACTGAAAGTAAGTATCTAAAGCGATTATTAAGACACAAAAAAATCATTTTCCATGCATTTAGCTCTGCTGTAGAATCCAAAGAGAGCTATAATTATACAGCTTGCATTAGCCCATTACAAAGAGAGGCTCATACAGTTTTCAATCTTGCATTTTTGAAGTGATGCTCCTCCATGTGCACAGAAGACATCAGGATATGTGATATCTGTTTACTTACTGGAAAGATGTGGGATGAGGACATGCCTCTGATACAGGTTGTGCTGACTGAGAAGCTAATCAGTTACATGGTTAATGCCTTTTATTTGTGTCTAGATTTTCAACAGCTTCTAGGCATATTATACACTTGTGAGTGTTTCACAGTCTACAATGCACTCTGTCTTCTACAGATGAGAGAAAGGAATTGCCAGGAACAATAATCCATGATACTCTGAGTTCTTAATGATTAAAGGAAGGCAAAACAAAGTACATCACAAAAACATAAAAAAAAATACAAATCAAAGACTCCCAAATAACCTTTTCCCCACATTTTTATTGTTTTTTTTTCATTATGTAAATTCCTTCAACATAATAATCTGCAACAAGCTATTTCAGTACCTGAAGGAAAAAAGATAAGCTGGGAGGGAGGGTAGGGAAGGAATGCTTTAGGAGTACTATTTTTTTTTTTTCTGAAAGCCTAAAGAATTCCTTGAAGCCTGGGCCACATAAAACTGTATTAACAGAGTTTATATTCTGCTTTTAGCAACATCCAACTCTGACTTCACGGCATAACAGAAAAGTTTAGGTCTTAGACACTAGATAAACCAGAGAAAGGAGGTAGACAGGAATGGCATGACACCATGCAAAGTAAAAAAAAAAAAACAAACAACAAAAAAAAACCCAAAAAACAAAAAAGCACACCTGGAAAGATAAAACCTTTCTTCAGCTTACTAGTGCAAAAAATGCTTTGAAGAAGAATATTATAGGTCTAGCTAAACTTGTCTGAAAAAATCAAGTTTTAATAATCTTTTATTTAAGGTGGCTCTAAGAGATGAGTGCCAAGTCTTAGGGGCTCATGCTCAACCAAAAGTTCTACAGGAAGGACATGGAAGAAATGAGCCCAAGAGACAAAGAAAGGTCAAATGCATAATCTCAGCAACACAGTGCACAGCTCTAAGAGTGGGCATTGTGTATGGGTGGTTGGTAAAAGACTTTCAGTGTGACAAGGAAAGAGATCAGATTGATTTCTTTGCCCACACAAGAAAATAGGACTGTTTATATTTGTATTCCAAGTGTACTTCAAGGTTGTGGATGACATTGCTAATTTTGTTTCCAACCGAAATAACCTATACAATGTTGAATTTTGGCTACCTGCTTGGATTAAAAGAGTTCATGTTGCACAATACTTTAGATCTGCAAATTCATCTGCTGTGACTGGGATATAATTCCTTTAAAGATGTAGAAGGAGCAATGTTTCATACAGCCTGTTGCTGAAGAACTGAAGAGTCCAGTAAACAACTCAGAACACCTTGTGTGCTAAAATAGAACATTTTCATATATAGTTAATTTGAAGTTTATGTATGATAATATTAATGTGTGGTAGACCTGACAAATTAGTGCTAGATATGTGCTGAGTACAGCCCAAAGACACCAAATGTGGTAAAGGAACAGGAGAAGGACACAAAGGAAAATTATTTACTTGACAAGTTAATGACAGTCTTCAGTACAGAATGCATACCTTCTCTCAAAACAATACTTTGGCCCCATAGAAGTATAATATAGTCAACATTAGGATAAGAAAAAAGTAATCTAGAAATATATATGGAAACATAAACATAGTACCCAAGGACACATTCAGAAGAAATATATTAACAATGCAGTATTTGCATATAAAACAGGTGATAAATCATGGTATTTAATGCATTTTAAATTTCAATTCAAGATGATGAGTTCAAGAATGTTTTTAATAAATAAGTTTACCATTATTCTGTATAAAAGACCCATACATTCTGCAATAATAACCAGTGTGAAGGACTAAAAATCCGTGAGAATTTTAATTCATTCCAAAATTGGAAAACAGGAATTTTTCAACTGGCAGGTGCTTACTTTCTGCAAAATGACAATATTCCCTCAAATCATTCTCTACATCGAGAACTGCAGACAGTGGTTCATACGTCCAGAAACTGCAGTGTACAAAAGAAAGTACTTCAACATCCATTTTTGCCATAAAAAAGACGGATGCATGAAACCTTTTGAGTCCACAGAAACTGCAGTGCCCTGACGAGTGTGTCAGTGCCCTGACATACAACAGTTCCCACATCCTCATTTTTAGTTATGCTATGAAATAGATTTGAAGGTTGTATTTTTTTTAAACCATTAATGTACACACATTAATGCACACAGATATGTTAACAGTTCATTTTAAAAGCAGCAAATAAACAATACAAAATACAGTTTATTACTGTAGTTTAGTAGGGAACTATTTAAACATATTGAAAATATATGATTGAAAATAAATATATTTATCAGTAACACGTTATTTTGAAGTTGTGACAAATACTCTATTAAATACAAGCACAAAAAATTAAGTGGAAATAATATGTGTCACACAACTTACTGAAATTTGACCTTTTCCAGGTTTTTCTTTTCCAGCTTTTCCAGCATCCCATTTTTCTGCATTGATATCTGCATCATTCCATTCTGGCCAAATAGGAAATCTACACTTCTTGTCAGAAGCAGCTACACTGGAAAGCACAGATGGCCTAGAAAACACACAATAGCATAAATAAAAATGAACAGCATTATTAGACAAGGGTAATAGAAAGTATTTTATCTTATAAAATATTCTTTTTTTAATGTAATAGGAATTTTAGTGGTTTTAACTATGTTAACTTTTTGTCACTAAGATAAGCAAACTTATCTTAGAAAGTGCTTGCTGTTATTAGGTATAAACCAACAAAATATTTAATGCATTTATACTTCTGATGAAGTAAATTGGGTAGCTGAAGCACAAAAACAGAATTTGAGGACAGTTTCTTCCCTCTTCTTTTCCCCTGCTTCAAGCCATATGGTTCTCCTTTCTCTCCTAGCATTCATCACTCAGTTCAACTCACTCACCCATCTGAAGGTGTTCTTTAATTTTTCCTGACCTATTCTCTTTAGATAACTGGAAGGAGCTTGCCATGGATAAAAGATGCCCTGGGGAAAAGGACTCCCACTTCTAGGCATTTGTAAGATGCTAGACCAGCCAGTGCTGTCTCCAGGCAGTTGTATTCTCAGGGCTCTTGTGCTACCAGCACTCTCACTATTTGCTCTTGGGTTTCACAATCCTGGCAATAATTTTGCTGAGGCTGAAAGGATTTTCACAAGACTAATACACAATATACTCATAGCCACAAAGTAGCACTAGTGCACCTTCATCTTTCCAGTGCATACAAAGGGCTGAAAAACTGAATTAGCTAGAATATTCATTCAATGTTCCTATATATAAATGCAACAAAATGTGTAACTACGTTCCAAAGTCAAACACAGACTACTTAAATGAATAGTCTGACTGAGGAAAATGTTGTCTAGCAAATGACACCGGAAAATCCTATTAAGCTCCATCATTCAGAAGGTGGAAGCAGGGGCAAGTCACTTGGGGAAACAGAGGCATTACTCAAGTGTAGAGCAGTGAAACTACAAAAGCAAAAGCTCACCTGGAGTAGAAATAACCAAAGGATGTTAGGGACAAGGAAAAATAGCTCCCATAACAACATTGGCAGCAAAGGCAAATAAGGAAGCGCATGTCTGTTGCTCAGTGGGGTGGGGAACAGTGACAAATGCGAGAAAGGCCAGGATACTTAATGTCTTTTTGTGTCTTGGGTTTTGTTGGCAAATTTGGCTCTCCCCAGTCCAAGAGTCTATTTACAGAGTCTGTGGGAGTGAAGCATTACCCACAGTAGAGGAAGGAGCTGAGCAGCACTTAAGCCAACTGGACACACACAGCTCCATGGAACTAGCTGCAATGTGAGCAAAGGTACTGAGGGAGTTGACTGATTTGGATTATGGTAACTACAGTGCTTGGAGACACTTTAAACTCAAATAGACATGGATCTAAGCAATCTGATGTAAACTGCTCCTGCTTGAGAAGGAATTTGACTAAATGGCTCCCAGACGCACCCTTCAATCAATGTTTTTCTAAAATTCCATAACACTTTAGCAATAGTAAGGACAAAGACATGGGTAAAAATAAAGATTTCTCACTGTCTAGACATTAACTACTTTCATCCACACTATCAGTAACTCTTAATGGAAGACAGCTGTTAAAATTCAATACCATCTGTGCCTTCTGCTGCGCAAAAACCACCCAAACATTGCTTCTACTTCTCTAACTGGAAGATGTATTCTGTAGAGTGATACCTAGCTTTATATTTTCATCTTTGTCACCTCAGTCTTCTATAAATTGACTCTATTATGTTTGATCTTACATTAATGGCATAACATTTTCTCTAGTGTTTTCTTGAAGACTCAAATGATGCTTCATTCTGTATTCAATAATATTTAACAAGCAATTGAAAAACTCTGAGGTGTTTATCAGTTTCTCTGTACCATTTCCAATTGTTTCAAAGAATCTGCTGCATCTGTGCTAACTGCATGCATGAAGAACAATGAAAAACTAAGCACTGGCTGTATCAACAGATTCAACATTTCTGATATTTTGAAACCTGAATACTTCAAACACTGACTTAAATATGATTCCTGGCAGTTTCTAACACATAGTAAAAAAATTATAAGTTAAAATTATCATTTTTTGTACTTCTTTCTTACTTCAGATGAAATACAAATGGCATACATATCAATTTTAAATATTTAAGGACTACTCTTCTTTTTTTCATATCTTTTTTCTACTTCTAAATCTGCATTTTCTCTTCTACATATCTATGGAGAAGCATGGAAATTTCACTTACTGGTAATAATAATAAAGATATTCTGAAAATTCTGACACCATTCAGAAATAAAATTATTTATAATTGCAATAATTTGTAGAACCACAGAATGGTTTGGGTTGCAAGGGACCTTAGAGCTCATCTAGTTCCACCCCTCCTGCCATGAGTAGGGTGGAACACCTTCCACTAGACCATGTTACTCAGAGCCTTTTCTCATTTCCTGCTATAAGATTTCTAAGTGCTTTGGGACAATAACAGAATTAAAAAAGCATAATTTCAAAATGTAGCAGTGAGATATGGAAGACTTACTTAGCTTACTATCACACTAAGACAGAAAATCACTTTCCACGCACTTTGACATAACAGAATAACCTCAGCATTAACAATGTGGAAGACATGGAAACAATGCTCCCTATGATTGAGATGCCTAAACTAAGTTGTGGAAGTCTAATGCTACTGCTTCTCAAAAAGGATAATTCAATAAGATCTGGAAAATTCAAAAATAACTGCAATTTAATTAGTCTCCAAATATAAGTAATAAATAGTAATAAATGAAAAAAAGACAGCTGAATTAATTAAAATACTGCAGTTGAGTAATGCTATTAAGAAGTTCCTCTATTACAAGAATTGAATAATAAACTGAGAATTCTTTGAAATGAACTGTAAGATACAAGGAAAATGTAAATTACTGCTATTTTATGCTCAGGTTGGATGGGTTCATTGTGCAACAGTATTTCTAAAAACCAACTTACTGGCAGACTTCCTTTTAATCCTGTGCTAAACCCTAAAGGAGAAAAAGGAAGAATAAACTGCCAAATGAAATAACCATGAAGTTGGCATAATTCACCTCTGACCCTTAAAGCAGCTTCTCCAAGAATACTGGTATAATTGATATAGAGGAAAGAAGGAACAGCATGATAGACAAGCACAACAGGAAAAAGCAGTCAGACTGCAACCTAAGTTTTTCAGAGGCTTCAGATTTAATACAGAGACAGGAAACAAGCCCACTGGAAATGTGCTCTCAAGTAATACAGTCATTTAGTCTGCAGACATATGCACTAACACATTCTGCAAGCAAGATCTTGTCAGCTTAGTTAATGGAGTCTAGGAAGCAAGTATTTTCTTCCTAAAACAGATAAATCTAATTGTAAATGATCCATGACCATTCCTTAGAGAGGGAACCCAGCAACACTGAAGGGAGCCTTCTCAAGAATTACAGAAGTATTGGTAGGTACTTTCAAGCAGCACGGCTACTCTGACCTTCCCTTCCCAATAACCATATCATTCTGGATCATCAGACAACAATAATTTTGTGATTTTTTAGAAATCATGAGGACACCAAGAGGCAGTAAAAAAAAAATGTCCCTTTCTGTGGATTTTTTGAACAGTCATAAAAAAACTTTTGCTCTCAGTAAAACTTTTATATTAGGAAAAAGAGGGCACAGAACAAACAGATCCTTCAACTTTTTCTCCAAATCTGTGCTGCAGGGAAGCTACTTAAGTTTTTCTCTAGTCTCTTTCAACCTCAAAGACAAAAGACTCCTTTGAAGAACTTATTTATAGCAGAAAGTTCTTTTAAACTATAATCACTGAAATGATTCTTAAAAAGTAGCATCTGAATATCTTAGAAACCCAGAGCAGAAACCATGGTAATGCTCAAGTTCATAAGAATCTCTAAAGGATACAAGAAAGTTTGGCGAAGTATCAGTAACTCTGTGCAAAATTATATGCTCTTTTTTTTCATACCTAGTGCTGTTCTTCAGAAGATAAACTAACAGAATGTGTCACAATCACATGATTTAATAAGCAGCTAATAAGGTAATAGAGTTTTCTTCTTAATATTAGCATAGTCAGCAGCAATTACAAAATAAAACCAAAATAATAATGAGTTGTTTACAATACCTTGCCATTAGTCTTATCTTGGATACTGAAGCCAAAACTTAAAGGACTCTCTGCAGAAGCAAAATAGTCTATGTGCTCGGAGCTCTCATGCTTGGGGAGACCCAAGCCATGGATGCAGTTCAGGTACAATGAGCAGAACAAATAATTGTAAACCATCTATGCTGCAATCACAGTTGCTTGCAAAAGCATATGACAACAGGTTTTATTGTCATTTCATTTTTATGTACTGGGGTAGGATTTCTTCCCCCAAAAGCACAGAGAACTTTCTATGTGAAGCAAGTTCAAACTGGAAAAGTAAAGTGATGACAGACAGAAAAGAGGAACACCAACTGATTATTCTTTATAGACATATCATTTTTAAAGGCATCTGTAATGGTCACTGTTTCCAAGTGTGGTGCTCTCATTTCTAAACACAGCTGATGTCCCTGTAGGTGTCAGACAAACTACTAACAGACCTCAGTAACTTGTCAAGAATGAGCCTCTTTTGAAGGCACACACACATTTGCTAAGAGAGATGATTACCTAGCCTCACATTTAGCTTTGCCAGCTAGAAGTCCACGTTTTCTTACTTTTATTTGCCTTCACATTAATGGAAACCAAGTTATTCCTTCTTGGTTTGCTTTCCAGATTCTAGGAGGGGGAAGAAAAACCCTAAATGCCAAATCCCTTATGCAAATTTTACACAGTAGCATGCCTTGGACATTATTTGAAAGAAAAATTAATAGAAAATAGTAGTTTAAAAGCTCTGTAGGTTTTAAAACTTTTTTTTTTGTTTGCTCTCCTTGTTTTCAGCCTGATTCCATTTGTTGCCCTAAAAATATTGTCTGAATTCTTACCTGAATTCTGATTTTAGAATTCCAGCTAAAACATCTTCTGCTGTTTTGATCCATTTATCTCTACTAAAAGTTTTTGCTACATAAAAACTTGAAGTC